TCTACCTTTTATCGGTGAACCCAAAGTATCTATATTTTCAGGCCAACTATCAAAATGTGTCTTAGGGCCAGCAGAGCCTTAATCCGGCACTGGATAATGGGCTACATGTTTATCAGTATGGGTAATTTATAATTTGCAGATCAGCAGGACTGGTAATGAATTAAATTGTAATGAAAGTGCTACTTCCTCTTATGACAGTTAAGTATAGTGATTAGCTGCTGGTCAAATAAAGCTTTTACTAAATTAATATCTGTTATCACCTTGACAATCCCGATTTTTATCAACATGCCATGTTGACTGAGACAACACCCAGATTTATTACGGGCTCTTTTAGAGAGAATAAAACGTTAAGCGGGCGACCAACTCCTTGAAGGTTATCGTTGTTTGATATTTCTGCTAAACCTTAGGTAATATCTCTCCGAGTTAATCAGGCGAAGCGGTTTTTTTGGCTTATAGGTAGTAGGCCAAAGTTTCTCTGCTAAAAGTTTACATATAAAGATTCACAAATTTCGCAATATGGGCTATTAAACTCGCCTTAGGAGAATTTTACCCTAGCTTATTACTTTAAATTCTCTCTAACATGCTAGCTGTTAAGAATATGAATCTCTTGTAATAAGTAAAATATTTTATTATCTTCAACTGCGTCTTCTAGATAAAAGAAAATTTGAGTTTGTTTTTAATGACCCCATCTGTATTCTGTATTGGAATATAGAAACATGTACATAAACTATATCTTCCTGTCCACAAAATTGTTAGCATGTTTAAAATAGAATTTGGCTTACCGTAAACTTCTGAGAGAATTCATGATCTGCTTTTTCACGTGTCTTCTTCGTTGGTTTGCGCATCGGGCTTCTCGTTTTTCGGATCATGGTACCCTTCCTAACTAAAAGAGACATCTTAACGGGTGTATTGTACGGTGAGCAACAGAAACAAGTCCTTGCTGTAGCACTTGATTGGGAATGTGTAAGCAATCAGGAAGGCGGATAATTTCTTGTTGAAGAGAAAGTGAACTAGAGTACCGTAGTTGATTAATGATCTGTGTCAACAACACCAGGAGCATAGTCCGTCCGCTGAGATATAAACCGGTTTATATTCTTGTCCTCTTATATAACAGTATTACTTAGTTCTGCAGTTTATATTTTTCTCTTAAAGAGAATGAATAAATGTAATTTGATCTTTGCATAACATCATAATTAATAATAATAATTTAATTCATTTAATACTACATTCCTACTACACTTATAGTTTCTCGGTGGCATACAATATATACATACATTAAAACAAATTAGATGAATAAGGAACAAAAATTCCGGTATAAATAAAATGAACACACATATTTTAAAAACTGACGGGTAAAATCAAGGCTAAATTCCATTAAAAGGCTCAGAATAAAATAGGTTTTCTTTATAAAACCCATACCAGAACCAAAGTAAAATTTTGATTAATTAAAAGCCCATATAAAAAGTTATAAGATTATTCTTAAAAAGATTAATCGTTTTGTTAGCTTTTGCATGTTCTTATCCCACGTCCAATTGAAGCTATACATATTCAAATGACCTTTCTGCTAAATGCGTTTCATTTTTAAAGGAACCTGCGTTAATGTTTTGTATCATATAAAATGATCTTGGGTTCAATTATCTCAGTATTTCTGATAAATTTTTCAATTAATGGTTAACTGTATTATGACCTCGGCTTTCACGATTTACATTTTAAATTTTTTAATGTAATAATTAGTTTAATCCAAATATTTCTGATATATTTTCTGTTCTATCCACCTATAAATAGTAATGTGTCGTGCACTCTAGTCATAGTAAGCCAGGTTCAGGTTGTTTCGAAAATCGCGTACAAAATTTCTACCATGCTACATGAGTGGACAGCGGTGCCCAATACTCTGCACCTTGATTCTTAAGTTGCGGGTCCCCTTCCCATGGGGGTGGGGATGGAGAGCGGGGTCCGACGATACGTTGAAATTTCGAGTTTAATTCGACTTTTGCGTACAACTTGCGTACAACGATCAACCTTTGTGTATAAGTCGACCCACCTCAGATGTCGCCAAAAACACTGCTTAAGAAGACCCCCGGTCCTTTCTTCCTCCTTTAAGAATATGGAACGGAATTCCCCCCCATAATTCTAACTCCTAACCGAGTAATGCGTATGCTAATATGATTACTTCTATGCATGTAACTTCTTACTAACACATGTTAAATTGTCATTTACACATGTAAAAATTTAATTTATATGACTTATTTTTTAAACATTGCAGTTAGAATTTGTATTTTGTTTTATTTTCATTATTACTTTTAATTTAGCTAAACGTACAATCAAAACAGATAAAATACTGTATTTATAGAGATAAATTGAAATCATACATTTATCCATATATTGAACACAGTTTAAGAATTATGAATATGTGGGTTGTGATATTTGAACATTTAATTATGATAGTCTATACAGGTATAACATACATACATTATTGAATAATGAGAAGAAGTATATGGGTTGAATATGATGAATTACATTAAAAGATCTGGGGTTGTATAATGTTGTTACAATTTGTTGATGCGGTCATACGTTTTGGGGATGTAAACGCGTTGGTCTCGATTCAGTTTTGATTCGTGTCTTCTGATGTAGATAGCTTCACGTATTCTTCCATTTCTATTGTTACTGTGGTTTACGTTTTATTTATTTTGGTCCAGCTGACGCGATGCCATTGGTTTCTCAATCAGATGTTCGGCACCAGCAGATTGGTTGGTGGGGGCTTTGGACACATGCTCCTTAATTCGGGGTTCTAGGGTTGTTTGAATTCACCATTGTAATATTCTGCACAACAACAGTTAATTTGGTAGACACGGTCTTTCGGGAAGGTGGAAATTTTGAGGTTTGACTTCACATTAGCATTTACTCCTTAGTTGTTGCGCCTTTGAGGAATGTGGTTTCTATGCCTGCTTCTGTTTTATATAACATTCTAATTTGGTGGGAGATGTTGCCGCGGAATAGTATAAAGACTCGTATTGGGGGTGTATCATTTTTGGGTTTATCAAATTTTGGAAGGTTGGATAATGCGGCGTTGACGAACTTGTTTACCATAATATGTTCTGAATAGCCGCTGTGTTCATTGAAGACGTCTTTTAGGTGTTGTGCTTCCAGGTTGAGGGATTCGGGGTGATAATGCCTGCTTTTTATGCATTTGGGTTATTAGATTTGTACTGGTCCATTTGTGTTGGTTTTCTGTATAATGAGGTGGTGACATTTGAATTCTCTCTTTTTACCATTACATTAAGAAATGAGGAGCTGCTGTTGGTTTCATTCTCCATTGTGGACGTCACTCTTCGATGTTGGTTGTTCAAGTGATTCAGGGAGACGACAGTATCATCTTCTTTTTTTTAACATGGCGAAGATGTTATCCATCTTTCTGAACCAGAAAATAAGTTGAAAAGGGGCGGTTGGAGTCATTTCTTCTGGTGACATGTAAATTTCGGAAATCAACGGGGATAAAGGACTTCCCATCGGTACACCATGGATCTGTCCATAATAGTTTTTTCCCCGTATGAAATATGCGGATTCCAGACATTGCTTGATCAAAAGGAATACTGATATCAACTTGTAGTGATGTATCCAGTGGTGTAGAAAGTTGTCGAATACGTGTTTCAAGAACTCTCCAATCAACGCTTTTTGTCTTGGCACATTAGTGAGCAGGTACGAGAGCAATTCATTGAGGTCCTTAATGAAAATATCACTCTGTCTGGAAGGAATATCATGAGTATGACGAATCCTACCGATTATATTTTGGTGAAACAGAATAGGCGTCAAAAGCTTTTAGGGTCATCAACTAAATTAGCTCCCTTCCCTTTTATATCGTGCATATAAATGATGTTATATGCACGAAAGTTGATTGTTGTACGCTAAAGTCGAATTAAACTCGAAATTGGGAAGGGAACCCGCAACTTAAGAATCAAGGTTCAGAGTATGGGGCACCGCTGTCCACTAGTAGAAATTTTGTACGCGATTTTGGAAACAACCTGAACCCAGCTCCCTTTATTTCTATCAGGATATTCTTACCATTTCAATAACACATGAAACCATTTATCATTTTTGGTCAATTAATTAAAAACGTAAGTTAAATGCAAGGAATATGTTATTCTATCAGGTACTGCTGGTAAAACGCCTCCTCTATTTGCAACATTCGTGTAGCTTACAAGCTAACAATATTTCCACTTAAATGTAGGTTGGGTCTATTTCCTGTTAAACATCCGCGTTTGGTTACGATACGTTTATTTACAAAAGAACCGAAAATATTAAGACTACTCTTTTGGCGTTTCAACGACAGGATAGTGGTATTAAAGAAGACCCTTAGTACTGGAAAAGAAAAGGTATTTGAAACTAGGAATACTCTGAAAGAATAGAGGTGGTCCATCATCCAAAAAATTGCTATATGCTTGTGGTTAATTAACATTTGTGTCTAGTCTTTGGTACTTTCAAGTTGCGATTGTTAATTGCCGAACGAGAATACAAACGGGAAATTAAATAGACACGTAACCGATGCGGCTTCGTTAGTCGAGCCCCATTCGTAAGGAATCGAGTCAAACCCAGACACAAGAACTGGTCTAAAACTTTCAATATTCTAAGTTGTTCTGAAAATCTCAGTAAGTGCATAGAAACGATGTTAATTACATGTTTGCCCATTTTAATGATCTGTTATTTTTGGTTCACGAATTAAATTTACATTATTTATTATATCACAGATGATATTATCTAGTCTGAGAAATATCTTCCTTGTCTTGGTTAATGGGGGGCAAGGCCAAGACCGGGTTGAGGGATTTAATCGATATCAATTAGTGAAAATTGATAACATTAACCATTTTGTATGCAATATAGACAAATTAGTAGCCCTATTCCATCCATTTATTTAAATAGAGTCGCCTCCCTTCGACAACAATAACGCCTCTCCTGATGCTAAAAATAAAAGTCATGTGATTTTGTTTGTATTCATTGAACCTTGGTAAAGCGCTTAGAAAAAAGATTTCTGATGTGAATTACAGCAACGTTATTAATTGTTTAAAATGGGGAGAAAGTCAACAATAGGAACTGTTTGTTGTGGTGTACTTGGACTGGTATTTTTAATTGTTGGATTAGCAATGATACCAGTTTTTAAGAATCTCATTAAGAAGAAGATTAAAGATGTAAGTGTGTGCATGGCATTTACGGTTGAGGCAGCAGTGACTGGCAAAATTTTATGTTATATTATACAACTGGATCACACTTGTTGATTATAGATTTTTTTTTTTTTTTTTTTTTTTTCATACTTTGAGGTGAGAGATTTTATTATGTTTTGTAAGACAAGAGATTTGAAATTTTTGCACCTCAAACATTTCTAAAATTTATAGAGGATATTTGTCATTTTAGAGTGAATAACATATTTTATTTCATCGAGAAGCAAGAAAACTTATATTTTCACAAATGCGTAGCATGAGTGAAAATATAAACGTTTTCTTGCTTAGAGATGAAATAAAATATGTTATTCAAGACAAAACGACAAATGTTCTATTTATTTTATGATTTTACAATCATTTTAGGTAAAAACAACATGGACTACTGCTAGCCAGTGGAATAACACTTTTATTTCACTGATAAAACGCGGTATTCCACTACTGATCATAAAATAAAATGTTTTATTATAGGCTCACATGCCTTATACTTATAGGCTATACTATCATATAATTAAATATCTAGGACAGGGGTCAATAATCCTATAATGAATAGCACTATTAAAGCAGAGTGTAATCTGGTCTGCATAAAGAAATGAATGGTTATGATATAGTGCAATAATGGTAAACTGGTTCGATCTGCTGTACAAGTTATTAAATATATTTTTTAAATGGTCTTTTGTTATAATTTTTTTTTTAAAAAAATGCCTATTGTATTTTATAAATGTAATGATTGTAGGATTTGTTATAAGAATTTGATCGAGGTATCAAGCTAAAATGAACTTTGACTTATTGGCTAATAGACTATTAATATTATGCAGTGTACAGGATCTAGAATGATTGTTTAATTATATGACTTAGCTAGCTGTTATCTGACTTATAGTAGGCAATGATATTACATTTAAATGAAGGGGTTATCTCTTAAGTTATTTAAGAAACTGTTAAGAGAGATAGCGGGGAATGGGGTTTGATATGTTCATTTGACACAAACTAGGTAATTTCCACTATTTCCAGGCTAACATATGGTTCAGTTTGTTTGCAATAATTCGTTTGTCTATAGGTTATTAAATTGACAGACTTTACTACACCCCCACCCCCACCCCCCCCTCCAAAAGCTGTAACAAGTAATTGTACACGCTTACAGAACAGTAGAGGACATTAAATCCTATTTCATTTCATTTCATGCAAGCTTAATAAGTTTAATAATTTATGTTCTTAGTTTCAATTATTACAGCAATGAATCACAATTACAATAATTTCATAAACCGGTAATGACTAGTAATTACTTTGGGAGTACTTATGTCATTGTTTCTTGTCAGATCACCATGGATAATTTACAAAATAAATATTTTGCTTTTTACATGTACAACCTTTATGGAATACTCACATGACATAGCTGTATGTATGTTTCATTACATGGCAACCTATCTTTGTTCAAGGAAATGATTGGTCATACAAAAAAAAAGAGCCTTAAAATTTTCAGTTTACTTTGGAATGTAACTTTTATTTGTTCAGTAATAAGTTTTTACTATCTAAGCCAATTATGTCCTGCAGTAGGCTAGCTGGGTCTCCAGTGAAGCTCTGTATGAAATTATATTTTCATTGTCTATATGAAACACTCAAAGATTCTAACAATCTGTCTGTTTATTATTATAATAGTTGGTATTGTCTTTATTATGTTCTTCTGTATGCTTATGATTCTTAGGTGGGGGGTGGATGGCCGAATGGTTAGTGTGTGCACGCTGTGTCATAAGGTCTATCAATGAGTCAGCTGGCATGGTTTCGATTCCCTTGTGACAAGGAGTAGGGTCGCCTGTCCAACCTTGTGGGTTTTCTCCGCGTCCTCCGGTTTCCACTGCTAAAGACCCCTACCCGCAAATGAATTAAGGTAATAAAATGGAACCATATGTTAGTCCTGAAATGACCTAGTTTGCGTCAGTGGACTTAAACTCTCTCTCTCTCTCTATCTCTCTCAAACTCTCTCTCTCTCTCTCTCTCTCTCTTAGGTAGGGAGTTTATTCAGAAAATCATGATTACACTAACACAATAATAATGTTACCTCTAATTAGCTCGATTGAATACTGTATTGTATATTATGTACAGTATATGGTACCTGCCTTTTACTTGCAGAAATGTCAAGATTAGAGTATTCAAACTGCAACCTTTTTACACAAAAAAATTAGAAGCATTTTTCTACATCTATTACTATCTCTTACTATTTTTATTTGATAGATAAACATACATGTATAATCAGTCTTATTATAAGGAGCCCATTACAGTAAAAAAAACAGGGTTGGGTTTTTGTGTTGTTTATCTTTTCGGTGCATTATCCATTCAATGACCTAACAGTTATTTAAAACATTATGTCAAACCCATTCAAAAAAATCTGATAATGTAACTGTTCTACATGTTGTTTTAATCTAACTTAATCAGATATTTTGTCATTTAGCCACACTTTGCATACCATTAAAGAAACATGACCAGGCTTTAGGTCGTAAGCAGTTGGTAAAAAACATAATTGTCATTATCACAGTTGGACTGTGCAGTCAGGGCTTTAGATTAGAGACTTTGTGATTGATATGAATTTTAATAATTAATTTTACAAAAATCTTATCCAAAATATATTTTGACTTACTTCAAGATAAAAGAAATAGTATGAAATAGCTGGAATATATTGTACTAAATCCAAGCAGTTATCTAGCCTATATCTACATGTAGTTATTAGAGCAAGCTATTCATAAACATTTACAAAACTGTTACACATGCAATATAAAACCTTGAAATATATCTCATTAATGGATGGATAGATTTGCCTCCTATTTATAACACAATTTAATTAGAATGTGACCAGTTTACATGATTTACTTTAACTGCTGAAGTGGTTTTAACCCTATTTCATAAATGTATGTATGCATAGGTAATAGGGCTTGCTAAACTGGAGGTTCAGCAGAGGTCGATTCAGGTGTTGATCAAGAAAATTACTCAGGATTTTCCAGTCTGGTTTCCCTTGTCAATGGTGCAGTACAGGATAGAGGGGTTGGCGAGGAAAAGCGTCTAGTTGTTTGGATGGGACAAAAAAACTGAGATCCGATGTACCGGTACACTTGGGGTACTTGTAAAAGAACGATATTGACAGTTGGAATTCAATTGCTGTCTCATCTAAAATTCTCTCATAGCACACTGCATGGTGTATACATGTCTTTATTAGCTCATTTGGAGCAGAGAGGTAGGAACTTAAACCCAATTTCTTTCATTTATGTATACATATTATCTACATTGTTACAGTTTTGATTGTATTTTAGAATATACCAATAGCTAGACACTCTGAAACATTTGAGGATTTTATCACTCCACCTGCACCAATCTATTTTCAAATCTGGGTGTTTGATGTTGTAAACCATTTGGAAGTAATAAAAGATGGAGCTAAACCTTACCTGTACCAGAAGGGACCCTATACATATAGGTAAATCTCACTTGATTTAATATAACATATGTATCAGGTTATACTGCTTTTGAATATTGTTTGTTTCCTCTCCATTTTCTGTCATTTTTAAATCAACCTTTACTAATTACTTCCACATTGTCTTATAGGATATGTTTTTCTTTTGTTCATTACAAAATGTCACCCGAAACCATAGAATACTATATTTTCGTTTTGTAAATCAACAATTTTTATGAGAAAAGTTTCTCGGCTTTATCGTCAGATGTGGGACAGGATGGGCACTCAAAACACGAGATAATGAACTAGACATTATGTGATATCACAATTAATGCTTTGCATCCATGAAATTGAATCACAATGTCATTGTATTAATTCATAATAAAAATTGACGTCAAACAAGGTGTTGAATTTCTCTGTTTAAAAAGCTCAATGTGTATGTATATACGCCAAAATGACGATAGAGGCCATGCGGGAGCGGGGGGGGGGGGTGGAGATACATTGTCTCAGGAACCTGGCAAACCCCCTCCTGCAAAAATTCCTGGATCCGCCCCTGTGTCAATGTGTTAGGTTTAGGTATAACAGAAAACACTGGTCTTGAATGGGGTGTTTAATTAACCCTTTAAGTATCCGGCTCAAAAATTGTCAATGACATAAAATTACTGAAGGTTCTTTAAATTGTTAAAAGCTTATAACTATAACATATCAAAGATTACATTTGTTGTTAAATTAAATTTATTTTTATTTTAAATGTGTAAGTCTCAAACAATAATGATAGCGTTACACAGTCTTAAGATCATAAAACATGTAACTCATCCTTTACAAATTTCTACGGTCAATAAATACTTTTATAGCCATAAGTTTTACAAGTGATGATAAACCAACTTTAAATCTCAATGTTTCATTGTAATGTAATAACACTTCATATATATTTACAGAGAAGAGAGATTAAAAGTAAATGTGACATTTCATGATAATAATACTGTGTCCTATCGTGAGAATAGGTGGTTTGTATTTGAGGAAGAATTATCAGCCGGTCCACAAAGTGATAATTTCACCACTGTAAACATTCCTGTAGCTGTAAGTTTGAATAATCATTAATTCTGTTTTTTAAAGTTTTTTTTGTGCCGGATGCAGTAATGTGTATTTAGTACATATCTGTCAATTGAGATAACTCTTATCATGATTACCTAGATAAAGTCCTATAGTTAAAGTCCATGGGAGTGATTGGAGTGATTCAGGAATCCCTTGCAAACTAATAATGACTCAACGCCGTTAAGTATTTACAAAGATATAATAAAGCGAAATTCCATCAATCTATGCTGCCCTTTATGTAAATGGTGCACTTTGATGTGTATTTTAGAGTCATTCGGTACAAACTGTGGGCCAATTTACATTTTATTTAAAAATTTAAAGAGACATTATGCTCAAACTATTTGTTATGGATTTTGCCATTTTATCAATATGTGAACATTGATATCAATAGACAGCCCCAACATCATAATGATCAGAACAATACTCATGTACCTGACGAATAAAATTGTTTCCTCTGATTCCATAATACACAAATGTGGCTTGTCTGTTTGTAGTAATTTTCTCATTTAATGTATGGTTTCGTACTTACCATCCTGGAAATATGGCACCTGTCACAGACATTGCGGGGCACAAATTTAGGCCTTGTGAGGCACAATTCCTCTGGTGCCCGTGAAGTGTTATTTTTCTGTGTTTTTATTGACATTTTTAATATATGTCCATTTTCCAGCACAAATTCAAAATGTCAGATACTAGTTTTTTTTGTGCCTGACATCTTGTCAAGTTTGACTAAAATAAATATTTTCAAGCCAGTAGATTTTTTGGTATGATACCTAAAGATGAAAACTGAAATTAAAGATTTATAACTTGGAAATGGAAATAAATGGGTCTTAAGCACCAACTTTGCTATTGAAGACATGCAGTGTGCCATGAGGGAAATTTTGTCTGGACTTTGTTGTTTCTGCCTACAGTTCTTCTAATTGTTGCACTCAAGTGCACACAAGACATTGGTTTTTCGTCCATCACTTAGACGCTGAACTGTTGCCAGGGGAAACCGGACTAAAAAATATAATAACATGGTCCCTGTACTCTTATTATTATAAGGTACATGATAGTAAGAATAAACAATGATGTTGCTGAAAGCTCCCTAATACTGTGCTTTGTCACATGAATTCTATGCACAAGAGACAGAGTCAAATCGTGCCACCAAGCCGACAGAATTAATGATAATAATGTTTAACCAGGTAGGGTGCCCCATGCACCCAAAATTTTCCCTACTGAAAGTTGAACTTGACACGGCTTGTCTCGAGGTGATTTCTGGCAAGTCACACAGTGCGATAACACTAAGTACAAGAGTCTATGAGTCTATAAACAGCCATCGCACATGAAATTCTCTACACATCTATCAACTATTACAGCCGTAAAAAATCTATTGTTGATGATTCTGAATAGCAGTAATATTTAGTTTTTTGGTCATTACAGCAGCTTTAGAAATTACGGTCGTTTTATTTTTTAAATTGCTTTATCGTTAACTATACCGTTAGGAGTGGCATCAACTGGTTTAGTACAAATAATATCTCTGAAACACTCGGGTTAGGCAAGAACATGATACTAGCAGTAGTTTCATTTTACTTTTACAAGGTTCTTAAAACATTTGTTGAGTTGCCTACCGTGCGTGTTTCTGAATTCAATTTCATGTTCTAGCTTTCTGTCATGTTTCGTAAAAAAGAAGTCTTGATTATCCCGGCCTGTCAATTAGACGGAGAATGGTCGGTAGACTGATTAAGCAAAACTAATTTCAAAACAAGGGCACATAACAAATTTTTTTTACTGAAAAGTTCCCGGATGTTATGGCCGACACTTGTAACCATTTTTCAGTCTATTATTTGTTGATGGTTAAATGATCATAGCTTATTAAACATGCATTATGCAAGAGCTAAATCTGATTATTGCAAGTCTTAATTTAGGCTTCAGATGTTATAGAAATTATAAATTAGATCTTTATTTAAACAACAAGACCAAAATCAACTCTGTAGACCCACGGATGGCTCGGCTACAGCTCGGATTTAAATAGGATTTCACTAATTGATTAAATCAAATAAGGGGTAACCTGATGAAAATACGTCAGTTAGATCGAGGCTAAATGATAGAGTGTACTTAGCGAGGCCGCTGTAAAGCGTTTCCGTATGCCATTGAAAACTTTACTTGATAATCGAGACATGTAGGTGGAGTTAACGCCTGTCAATCAAACGATCGGCGAAGGTGAATACGCATTTTGCTACCATTTTTAGTCAAATATTACAACGATGATAACTATGTTCAGAATAAAGTAATTTGACTGAATTTTTCAATATATTCTTCTTTCATCATCTACTTTTGAACTGTTACAGCAAGAATGGCCAACTCTCTATAAAAATCTCCCATAATGTATCTTTAAGTACATGTCCGTTTATTTAGTAACCTACCATGGGTTAATTCATTTTCCCTGTATATTTCAGTTGATAGATAATTTGATAAAAAATGAATATGGTTGGATACAAGATTTAGTTGAATTACTGTTTCAAGTTACAGCTGAAGATGTATTTATTACTTTATCAGTAGAAGATTTAATGTGGGGATATGAAGACCATTTACTTAGACGAGCTGCAGAAATATTAGCTAATTTCAATATCACATTTGATGACCATTTTGGTTTGTTTAAAGGGGTAAGTTAATTTCGTCAAATTTTAGTACAGTAATCATTTTGTGGTCTCAATTGAGTTTTGAGCATTTGTAAATAGATTCAAGTACATAACTAGAATACATGATGTTGTAGGTTATGAGGTCTGGAGCCATCCCAGATATATTTTAGTGAATCAGTGGAAGACACTTAACAACCTTTATCTTAGTCTGGTACAACTATCTGAATCTCTGCCATATCTTTTTACTGAAATTAGTGAAATACAAACTTTCAGTGTAAATCTGGTAGGACTAAAAGTCTCCAAGTTCAATGCTATATCCATGTGACTGAATAGCCATGGTTGTGTAAGTGATAGTGAAAATTAATCAGTGAAATTCCTTAAGTCCTGTCATATTTTATTGATTCAGAAATGTCAGACGTATTAATTGGGCTATTACTTCACTTTTTGGAGTTTAATTTGCCTACTTCAATCCATCTTTATTAATAGATACCATGAGAATACACAATCAATAAGAAGTTGTTGGGTTATACGCATATATAGCGTAGGCTTACAGCATGTGGTCCTCTTTTTCTTTTAAAAATGTGACTGACACATCCACTTATAATTTGACAGTATATTTAATTTATTAATTAAAGGCAAAAGAATTTGTATTAGTTGTGCATTATTATGCATTCACATTCACTGTGAACTTAAATTGTCATCACCTCTGCCCATCGTCAGGACATTCTTTCGTGTAAAAACTCTACTGGTCTTAACTCTTGATTGCTTTTTCTTTTATTTGCAAGGATTGTTCATTGGCTCATGTGATAACATTATCTTTTTAAAAGCTTGGTGGCATTGTTCATTGGAATATTTTTTTAATCACAAATTACGATACTTCAACCCCCATTTGCATTCAAATTTGTGCATTCTTGTAGAGAGGATAAAGGACACATTCCCCAACAAATTATTTGCAGACATTGATTTTAGAGCTATCACAGATGATTTGCTGCTATTGGGTGTATCAGGGGACATGACAAGTTCATATCTATGTTTAAAACTATTATATATAATATGAATAGAATATTAAGATATGACAATGACTGGAGTTTTCCTGTAAAAGATTATGTTTTGTTTCTTCTTGTAGCAAAATGGTACTGATGATGGATTATATACAGTATTTACAGGCAAAGGAGATAGTAGTAAACATGGTGTTATTAATGAATGGAATAAAATGAAGTAATGTTTTAATCATGAGACTTTTAAAATGCTGCTTATAAATCATTATTATTAGTGTCATTCTGTCTGCAGTTATTTTGACTCTTTTATATTAACTATTAGAAATCTAGTTTGAATTGGAATTTTCTTATACTATAGATCAGTATTGTGTGATTGTCAGGGTTCATGGTTTTAGTCTCCAAAATCGCATGAGGCAAAATTAAATTACAATCAGGAAATTTAAAATTTTTTTAATTTGGGTCTCTTGATACTCTTTTGTTCTTGATGAAATAAATTAGCTGATTTGAACATCATCCAGCCAAACGCTATACTGACAGCCATTATCTCAATCTAGACATTTTAAATTTGATTATTATTCTACTGCATTCTTCCAGTACTAATCTGTGTCTACTCTAGAGATAATCTTGTATCTTCTTCACATCAATAGGGTTTAGCAAAGATTTAGAAATTTGACTAATTTAATAAATAATGAAACAGATTTTGAAGAAAATATTACACATTGCTCTGTTTGGCATACAATAAGAAGAAGTGATTTACTTTCAAGTTGTTATATACTGTATAATTCTTATGGCAGTTCTGATCAATTGTGAATTTTTTGTTCTTTAAAATGAACTTCCAGGCCTATCGGTATTTTATTCACCTTTTATTTAACTTTCAGAACATTGCCTTATTGGACGTCTGCTACTGCAGCCATGATAAATGGATCAGGTAACTGTCATTTCTTGTTACCAATATAGGTTTTAAATTTTAGTGAGTAACTGTTAAAATTGTTGTTTGAATCAAAAGGGAAGTAACTCTACTACACTACTCTGTGATGGAATATTTTGACTAATTTGCTAAAGAGTGATATGAAAAAAAAACTTATATCTATAGTTGGTCAGCAAAATTTGAAATCAAACACCAGTACAGCAAAGGGCTATCAGTTTATGATTGAATATTTTCTTTTTTATGAAGATGGCACAATGTATCCACCATTTTTAGATCAAGACAAACCAATATATGTGTTTTCTTCAGATGTCTGTCGGTAAGAAATACTTTCATCATTTACCTGGAAATTAGATATCATCTGCAGAGACATGGTTGAAATGTCAGAATAAAATCAGTGGCAGAATTTACAATATAAATTTTTAATGTCATTCAATTTAATTGAGAGTTTTGTACATATAGATTCTAGGAGGCTGAACTCCGGCCCAACAAGAATATCCCTTGATCAAATACCAGCATGGGAGGATAACCTAAAGATATTTCAAGCACAATTCCTACCTATTAGGCATTAAGCCCATAGATCTATCGAGGAAACTTTGGGTTAGATGAAGTGTTTTGATCCATAGATTTTACATGACAAGAAGTAGGGTTTCTTCTGGGTCCTCTAGTTTCCTCCCTCTGCTAAAGACCCTATGTGCAAGCCAATATTATTGACATAAAATTAAACCATATGTTAGTGCCAAAATGACCTAGTTTGTGTAGAGTGGACATTGAACCGCAGCTTTATCTCTTCCTCAATGTTAATTAGCTTGTTAAATACAACCTATAAACTTGCGATCACACTACACTCCTTGTCGGTGCAATAGAGACTACAGTTTTTATCAGATTTTTCTGAATTATCAGCAAATTTGCATTATGACAAGACAAGGTCGATAATCAGAGTAAATAAAATGTGTTAAATTCCTTCAGGTTAAAAGGTTTGTAGGTTTTATAAACATAAAAGATTATTATGTTTTATTTTACAGATCCCTTAATCTAGTGTATAAGTATGATTATGATTTAAAAGATATTAAAGTTTATCGCTTTGTTGCTCCTCCTAGTTTATTTGAGAATTCTACAGCTAATCCAGCTAATAAAGGATTTTGTACTAAAGCAGAAGGTTGTTTACCATCTGGTGTTGTAGATGTTAGTGCTTGTAGATCTTGTAAGTATTTATAAACTATAATACTAGAAATCTTACAGTTTATTATCAGTCACATTGATTGTTCCTAGCTACAATAGTGATAAATTATTAAATATACCACAATTCAAGTTTTAAAAATTCAATTTTTAAATTACATGATTAATGTAATCAGTAGTAATCGATGATTGATTCATCACTGATGTTTGATTGACATTGACTCATGGCCTAACAGTCCTAAATTACAATCAGTCAGTTCTACATATATTTGCCACCGATATATTCCATTGTTTATCGCAGTGTACTGTGTGGATTAAAGTTTGTAGACTATGTGGTTGAGTGGTTGAACAGGTGAACTGTAGATCATAAGGTCTGTCGTTCAGTCATGTGGTACTGTTTAGATCCCAACCTTATACATGACAAGAAGTTAATTAAGTCACCTGTCCAACCTTGTGGGTTTTCTTTGGGTCCTCCAGTTTTCTTCCACTGCTTTAGACCTAGACGCGTAGGCAAATTGTGAGTCCCGAAATGACCTAGTTTGTGTCAAGTGGATATTCAACCATATTTCTCTCTTTCTCTTTTTGATGCTCTGGCTGAAATTTCAACAGTGAATTACTTAGTTCAAGGGAAATAACTCCTACTTTCACACTAAACAAGCCTCATTAGAATTATTATGTACCAGTATGTGTCTATTTAAAGATATGTTTCATATTTCATACTTTATTATTTTTCACTAATTTCAGCTGCACCTATAGTTTTATCCCAGCCCCATTTTCTAGCAGCAGACCCGTCCATAATAAACAGCGTTATTGGTTTACATCCTAACACTGAAGAACATCAGACAGTTCTTGATGTAGAACCAGTGAGTATAAAAACAGTTTATGTAATTTCACCTTAGTAATCAGAATAAAATGAATAATGTGGTTTGCTTCAATCAATGGCCAGAATCAGTGGTTTTGATTTGTAAACTTACAACTATTTAGATAAAAATATACTTCAATATAGTAAAATAATGTTTAGTTAATATAAACATAGGTGTATTTTTATGTTAATTAGAACTGTTAGGTTAGTCAGAGTGTTTACAACCTCCATATTCTCCACTTTACTAAAAGGATGTCCTCTACATAAACAAATTATTCATATAAAAATATACTATATATTAGTCCCAAAATGACCTGCTTTGTGGTGATTGATGTTAAATAATAGTTCTTTTTCCTTTTTATTCACCCACATTTTCATGTGGATGTATATTGTGAAAAATCCCGTTTTTAGCTTTTGGACCCTCTACAGGTTACAATTTTTATCCAATTTTAAAAAACGTTTGAATATATCACTGTTACACCATAATGTCAGTTGAGTTTTAATTTCGTGTAAATCAGACCAAAACTGCCTGACAAAATGGTCACTTCTAGCGGTCATAATTTTTATCTGATTCTGATGAAACTTAAATTACACGTTCCTTTGATATTGACACACATCGGACCGTCACATCCTGGATTATGGCCCCTAATTTTACTAAAATTGCTTTTAGCTTGTTCTCTGTCCAAATCTTGTGAAATATGGGTGTATCTTGTTTTATTTAAATATAATCATTAATTTGTTTTTCAATAGATGACTGGTACTACAATGAATGCAGCAAAAAAATTACAGATTAATATTCACATTATGAATGTTTCTCATATTGTGTAAGTTAAGAGTTTCTACTTATTCCTTTAGTTAAAAAGCATTTTCTTCAATCTGATTAAAACACAGATCCTATTTCGTTTCGTTTTTTATAGTTCCAAATTTCGTTTTACTTGTCTTTACTACTCTGTGGATCTGGAAGAGTTGTTATATTTCCAGTTATCTGGTTAAAGTGAGGGATTAGCCAATGAAGCCGTCCGTTACGGCGAGTTAATGGCGTGCGATCCACAGAACAGTGAGTAAACCACTAGAAACACAACGTCATAGGGTCAAAAGCCACTCATGTGACCCCTGACACGACCTTCCAGTACAACTGTTCAGATCTTCATGTAGTGTAGGTCATGGAAAGTATAAAAAAACAAAACAAAATATAGGTCTGTATTTTAATCCGGTTGCATTTTCTTTATTTATATATTTAACAAAGAGCTGAAAAATATCCATTAGATATTTAGACAAATAAAACAAAACAACATAGTCAGATACCATCTTGGCATCAGAGTTAGTGGAAAGCCATGAGTTGCTATGGGACATCAAAACTATTTGCCCATTACTCTAGATTCTAGAATATTGGACCTTTAACGTAGAGATATGGGCCTTTGAGTGTGTGGTTTAGGGGAGTGTTAATAAATGAGAACTGCTTACATCTGCATGCAAAAGTATTTAAAAATGGTGGTTTAATTATCATTATCTATGTACAGGTATCTTAATGAAATTTGTATGGTCTCATATCTATTTTAATAATTGAATCATTAAATGAGTATAATTTTTCAAAAGTGCTGCACCTTGTTTGTAATTCTGAAGCCATGCACAAAAATAAAACCCACTTGAATACAATATTAGGCATATCCAATCACTAAGAATCCCAATTCTTCACCTTTAATAGCCAATGAAAAATCCTCATTTATTTGCTTTCCCACATTAGTACTGAGAAATCTATAAAAATAAATAAATATTCTGAGAAACCATAACATAACTGTACATTCTGGTGATGTCATTTATGTATTTAAAGAAGTTTACTTACTAGGCATTGAAAAAATCTACATAATATGACCATTGGCCTGTTGAGGTGACATATCTATCTATTTTAAGAATTTTATATAATATTTGGTTTATTTCACAACCCTATTATTGGTTAGTAAATACCCGTTACATATGAATGTTTTTAAATAACAGTTTACTTCCTCATGTATCAAAAGTCTGTCATTAAACAGATCAGATGAGTTGAAACATATATTAAAACCATACTTCTCACTTCCTCGTTTCATCTCACTCATTATCACAGCAGAACCGGGCCAGATATCTTTATTAATATTTATTATTAACAATCTCTCTGTCTCTGTGTGTGTGATGTATCTTGTCCACTGACTTGTCTTCTTAGTTTCTAGGGGGGTTCGATGGCTGAATGGTCAGCATGTGCGTGCTGTAACATAAAGTCTGTCATTGAGTCTACTGGCGTGGTTTCAAATCCCCAGTTGTACGTGACAAGGAGTAGGATCGCCTGTCCAACCTCCGGTTTCCTCCCACTGCTAAAGACCCCTACGCGCAAGCGAATTATTGAAATAAAATTGAACCATGTGTTAGTCCCGAAATGACCTAGTTTGTGTCGAGTGGACGTTAAACCCCATTTCTCTCTCTCTCTGTTAGTTTCTATTTGTGATAGGGTTTTCCTAGTTACTATTGCGATGGGAATAAAAAATATTTAAATAAAGAAATTTAAGTGAGTGGGTGACACCTGTTAGCACCACCCCACAACATTGTTTGCTAGTTAATGAACAATTTACGCAATCAACAAAGTTATACTTTAATTAAATAGAGATATAATTAAACAAAATAGAGAATAAATCTGTTTCCATAGACTTTCTACATTTATGATGTTCAGTTTTCTCACTTAACCTAAAGATCATAAGGACTGTACCTTTTGGGATGTGGTGTGTTAAACTTTCTTTATTTGTTTGAAATAATGCTGTTGCTTGTTTTTGCTCTAAAAATTTAGTCTCTTTTCACTAAATTCAAAACAGTAGATCAAATTATTAGGTGATGCGTGACAGTCAAAAATGGAAATTTCTGTTCCTTTATATTCCTTGAGAAAGAAAGTTTGAATAATTAGTGGATTATTTTATAGTGTGACCACAGTATATTTTTTCCATTATAATGGCATTGCAAATCATTATATTTTGGGGTTTTATTTTACAGAGATACCACCAAAGTAAAGTCTATGTTTTTACCTGTACTCTGGTTAAATGAGGTATGACGCTGTTATAAATTTCCTTTATTGTATTTCTTTCTACTAATATTACAGGGGATTTATAAATTCACTTCCATTTAAAACCATGACCACACAAGCACACAGCTAGGATAAGCAGAAAAGAACCAGCAACAGCTCACTCCTATGGTGTCCCATTGAGGATAGGCATCAGTCATTGACTAGGGCTGAAGCTTGGGAGATGTCTTGCAAAAAAGCTATCATCAAAATGGCACTTTATGCAGAGATATATGGGCTGGGGCTTGGGCACTACCTTGCCAAAAAGCTATCGTGAAAAAGACTCTTTCCAGGGTCAGTACCAGTGATGGGATTTCAAAATTTTTCTTGTCAGACATTTTTACCGAAAATAAAGGGGCATGTGTAGAAAAAGATGAAATAGATGATAAAGCATCCTAAAAGATTGTTTTTATCAAAGTAAAAGGAAATATGAATTAAAAACTGTTTTTATCAGTGCAATGATAGCTGAAAATCTGCTAGAAAAATCCATGTTTATTGTTTTTATCACTGCAGTAATAGCTGAAAACAGTGATAAATGATAAATATATGCTAAAACAATTAATTCATGATCATTGGGGTTTTTTTTTCATCAGAGTGCAGTAATAGATAATAAATCTGCTGGTAAATTTAAAGATAAAGTACAGCAACCTGTTAAAATAACTCAAGCTATACAGTTTGGTTTAATTACTGTTGGTGTTTTTGTACTAGTATGTGCTCTAGCGTTTGTGGGCAAGAAAATGTTATGTAAATCAGTAAGTAGAAGTGTTATATGGTATATTTGTTTATAAGCTGATTTCAGTTTGATAAGGCCGATAATCATTTGTTGCTAGTTAAAAATGTGTGTTTTAATTTACTGTTGTTTCCTTTCTGGTCATTTGGAATACTAAAATGTAATTATCTTCTTAAGGAAAAAAATTGTGCATCGCTCCGCTCAACTGTTCATTAATAGAAACATAAAGTGCTAGCTTTGCTCGAGCCGTGTTGCCAATATATATATAAAATATTATAAACCCTCAGAAGGTACAATCAACATGTCCTTTATTATTTGGTAAAAGTATATTTGTATAATCAATCTTTAAAAAGAAAATATTTATTTGGTTCAGTCTGCTTGACTGTTCTTTTCTGACATGCCTTTCTCAGAAATATTAGGTGTTTCAACATATCTACATTTTTGGAGAAAGATTACTATTTTACCATCTATTTTTACTATTTATATTTCAGAATAATGAACCATCAGACTTACAACCGATGATAACATAAGTTAAAGGCAAGAACAGTGTAAACCAGCATATTTGTCACAACAAATTTAACGAATTCAAAATCAAAAAATTGATAGTTTGATGAATTTATGGGGTTTTTCTGGACCTCTTTTTAATTTTTTTTATTATACAAGATTTATTTTTAATTTATATTAATTTTGTCTTATTGTAGCAATACAAATTGAATATTCATTGTTTTCTATTGCCACAAATTAACCGCCAACATATCTCATCTGATACTATCTAGTTAAAGATGCATTCTTATCATTTTTACTTACTTGAGTAAAGGATCATCAGCAGGGTAAAGTCCTTAAAACCATTAAAATGTTGTACAACTGCATCTACCTGTAACTTTATATTAAAACCTAAAATGGCTCTTTTTTTACCAACTGGCATAATGCTATACATAAATCCATATATTTTATATGTAGTATTATATTTTATAGTTGTGTGGGTAATATCATTGTGATAATAAATTGTCTTTCAATTTTCAAAAGATGGGATAAATTTTATAACCAATGTTGACAGGGAACGAAGTAATCAGAAAAGCAATAAAATTGATTAGATAGTTGGATAATCAACATTGTAGTAAAGAGAAAGGAGAGGTTATGAATAAAATCTATGATTTTTCATGGACGTCAAATTGGGATTTGTTGTGATTTTAACAAGTAAATATATATGAAACGATGAACAATTTTGTAAATATCTTGGCATATTTTGTTAAATATCTTGGCATATTTTGTTACATATCTTGGAATATTTTGTTAAATATTAAGGGGTAAAAAACTTAATTTGTCTAACATCTATCATAAGACACATACCAGTATCTTCATTTATTGAAAAAACTGTGTCTACATAATAGTTAAATAGTGTATGGCACATCTACTACAAATAGTTTTGTATATAGAATGAAAACCATGACATATTTATTTTTTCATCAATTGCCTTTTGATTCACTTATCAAAACATTCTAGTTTATTATCTACCTCTTAGAATTTTTCGATGTATAAGACTCATTGCTTCTACATATTTCATATTTTGTGAGCTGCAAATGATAATGCATGAAATGGCTGATGATGTTTAACTCAAATCAAATTTTAAAAACAACTATAAAAACAGGGGTAAAAAATGTTTTTCAATTTTCTTTAAAATGATTTGAACATATTTCTATAGAAGAGTATATCTTTCATATCAGTTACTTTGCGTTTTGCTACTGATGTCACTGTGCGGGGGTAGATGGCCGAATGGTTAGCGTGTGTGTGTTGAATCATAAGGTCTGTCATTGGGTCAACTGGCGTGGTTTCGATTCCCCGATTGTACGTGACAAGGAGTAGGGTCGCCTGTCCAACCTTGTGTTTTTCTCCAGGTCCTTCAGTTTCCTCCCACTGCTAAAGACCCCTACGCACAAGCGAATTATTGAAAAGAAATTGAACCATATGTTATTCCCGAAATGACGTAGTTTATGTTCTTATACATCCAAAAATATTATATTCCAAACTATATAAATTAAATGTGTAACCTCATTATATTTTATCAAACATAATGTTTGGATATATATATTTATTTACACACGGTTTATTTTGATTTTATAAATGTTGTACATAATTTATGTTATCTTGACTGTTAAAATTGTTAATAGATCACTGAATATTAATATGTAATTTATATCAAATTATTCTTCTGTGCCTTTGTATATATTCAGCTATTATTGATACCCAACTTCGCCCAGGGCCCAAATTCGCATGGAGCCCAATTTGCCCAGAGCATAATTTTGCCCAGGGTCCAAATTCAATGGCTAAAACATTCACGGTGTCATGCTGGTTAAATTGATACCACATCTTGGGCCATAATCCCATAATCCATTAAGTTACAGTCCGATTCATGCCAATACTAAAAGTAATCAAGGGCTTAGGGAAATAAACCATAAACCTATATTTTTAATTTTCGGCAAAATCGGATAAAAATTGTGTCCTGTACAGTGTCTACCAACAAAATGTGAATGGACGGAAGTCCAGATGGACAGAAGCAAATGGGGGCTGAGTGAGGCGACAAATCAGGATGGGTGAACATACACACATATATACACACTTTGATTTTATTTATATAGATAAAACATTCGAACAGCTAAACCGAATTGATTTAGATAAAAGTATATTATGGAGGTAAACCTCATTAATTTTGATAAAATTAAAATAGATCAATCTGATGTGTTATGTGATGAAAAATTGTTTCGGTTCAGTGTGCCAAAATTGAGACATTGACAGTTCACAAGATGTATTTTTATCTTCATCGAAATTTGCATCCTTAAACTCAGCTTAAATAAACATTGTCAACTGTTGAACACAAAATTAGTTAATCCCCATATTTTCTGTGTTGAGAGACCGGACATTTTAAATATCTACTTAGGGTTACAAATCAATGTATCAATTTTAATTAAATAGAGTTTTTTAGTTTTTTAAAACCCAATTCAAAGCCAATCTGATTAAAACACAGATCCCATTGGGTTTCTTTTTTTTTATAAAGTTCAAAGGCCATTGAAGTATAAAAAAACAAAATAAAATAAAGATCTATGATTTAATCAGATTGTATGAAAGCTATCATAATATTCTTCTGATAATTATATGTATGGTTATAGAGAATTATACATGTATATCTTTTGTCACATTGTGCCACTCCCATTTCTAAATAGAATGATAATCAAAGCGAAAACCTAGCATGTAAATGGGCCACAGTTGTCATCAAGCCATTTAAGGATTCGTACCAGTCGGCAACAATTACATGCTTATGAATCAATATCAATGGCCATTTCTCTGCTAGGTAACAAGAACTCCATCAAGAGACCACATTTAGCAGAAATTAAAGGAGCCACATTGAAGACAAATAATGTTATAGGTTTTAATTGATAAATATGTTAATAGATAAAATTTAATAAATATATTAATAGATTTAGTTTAATAAATATGTTGAGGGATTTAATTTAATAAATATGTTGATAGATTTGATTTAATAAATATGTTGATAAGATTTATTTTAATAAATATATTAATAGATTTAGTTTAATAAATTTGTTGATGGATTTGATTTAATAAATATGTTGATAAAACTTGATAAATATATTGGTAGACTTTTAAGTATAAATCTAAGTATGTCAATAGATTTGTGATTTAGACACACTGTAATTGTGTAATCCTCCCAGGGTTGTCTATTTAATTACATTGTGCAATCCAGAAGAATAGACTTAAACCTTGGTTGTTGTCATTTCTTGCAGTGTGCCTTCAAAAAACTTTGCTTTACTTTTACGTGACCAGTAACAAAAGCGTATTGAATACTACTGCTCACATTATAAATATATAATGCTTTGTTAATATTCTTTTGTGTGATAAATACCCCAGGGGAGGTGTTTACATTTATTACTAATATATTATAGTTTGCTTTATTGTGCAGTTGATGATTTATGAATATTTGATGTGGGTTTTTTATTAATCTTATAAAATATCCAGTCAACATTCCTTTTCATGACAACTAAACATTGAATTACATTTTTATCTAATGATAAACCCAAAATATTTCTGATGATATAAACCTGTTAGGCAATTTGAAGTTGGTTAGAAATTAAAGTAAATATTTATTATTTACATTTGCCTTCAAACTCTTTATTACTTCCACCGACATATCCACAAACAGATCATGTATGAATGCATTACTAATGTCTCAACATTTAGACATTCAGAAACTAGTTGTCAGTAGTGTATGTGTGTTACACTGTCTGCAAAACGGTATGGTCTATAATTCTTTGCTTCACGTTGTGTTTCAAAATAGCCATGGGCGGCTAACGTCTGAAGAAGCTACATACTGTCCCACTTGGAACGCGCATATCTCTATTTTAAAGGTTAATACACCCTCAACCGGTTATGTGTCTCTAAATACTAATTACTCGATTGGTTAAAGAGTGCATAATATGAAAATATAAAAATTGGGTAGTAACTTCTTGTATTATTGCCCCTGATTGTACGTAAACTCGCTTTTTCAGCTTTTCCCCTGTCCATCGCTTGCAACTTGTGGGTGTATCTGGCATGACAACCGCTTGTTTTCCACACGAACACAATACGAAGTAAAAAACAATTTGCCCGATTTGCCTTACGATGGCCTAATGAAGGGCAAAATGAACCTTTCCAGGTTCCCTCGGCAAATTTTTTGCAAGCTGGAAAAACTTCACATGCTATCGGTCATACGATGGCTTAAGATGCCCTCAGGAATGGCACGATGTTTTTACGATCAGAGCCGAATTTGAACATTTATTCTATCTTAACAGGCGTACGGGCTCGATGAATAGACACTTTTGGCAAGCGTAAATTCCTATCGGGAATCCGTATCGATTTTGCGTGTGACGTCATTTATGCGTGTGTATTTCTCATACCTGATACGGCAGCACGCATCGAACAGCTTTCATACGGAAAAGGTCTGTATAACATCTTTTGTCTCTTTACCGTATTTTTTGCTACTTTTAGTCACTGAAATGTTGTGTCGTAGCATTTTTATGAATCTATGTGTATCCTAGAACACGAAGGTGTATATTTGATGTGATTTTAATCATAATAAAGACCGGAATATAATCATTATTTTTGATGAGCTTTTCGCGGAATTTTCATATTTTTTCTGTCTGTGTCTGCATTCTGGTTGATCTACGTGCAAAATTTAGGGGGGTGTGACCTTGCAAATCTGTAAAAGGCTTTCGAAAATACATTAGTGAAACCAAAAATTGCTGTCGAGTCGAAGTCGAGGATTTTTTTTAATAAGATTCGACACTAAATATTTTTTAAATTTTAAATAGCTCAGCGTCTGTCGAGCGACTGTGCTCAATTCAGGAATTTGTAGGCTAGGCACTTGACTAATACTGATGTTGATCTTGGTAGATAACTGCCATCATGTTGTAATAGAACTAAGCTCAGCTCAGCTACCCATACGTATGTGGCGCGAAAATCTGCCAAAACTCTAAAACTACATTGATGCAACGCATCACGTGACGATACGGATACGTGATACGGATGGGAAAAATTCCACTTAACAAAATTCTCTTATGAAAGTGGGGCAGAACCTGATATGCCCGAAAAAGTTTCGGGTTACAGTCGGTGGTGCTGGTCGTCCGGGAGAGGCGAAGGGGCGCAGATTATCGTAGGACCCCCGTATAGTGGGAACCTAGCATTAATATCTTCTATTTGTATCGTAACACCTCACTGATTTTCACGAATAAAATGATTAGTCAGGTCTGTTATGCTCTTTAATTAACGCCGTCACATGTGTAAAAGTAAAATAGATAGGTATTTGCGTCAATAATATATAATACAATCTGGTTAAAACACAGATCCTATTTCGTTTCGTTTTTATAGTTCAAAATTTCGTTTTTATAGTTCAAAATTTCGTTTTACTTGTCTTTACTACACTTGGCCATCGAAAGTATAAAAAAAACGAAACGAAATATAGATCTGTATTTTAATCAGATTGTATATAATAATAAAGAAGACGGTATGTGAAATTGTATACGTATTTATAACATCAACGATATTAATATACGGCTGGTGTAATTTATTATTTATACCTTTGGATCATGGCGTGACTTTTATTTTTTTTAATTACCAGAAGCCTTTTATGAAGTGTGTTTCAGCGGTGTCTTCTTACCAAGATAAATCTAGAAATATCAGATAAATTTATACCTAAAATGGTCCCGTGATCCATAGGCGTACGGGCTCGATGAATGTTGGGGTGGGGGTTACAGTCGGTGGTGCCAGGTGTCTGCGAGAGGCGAAGGAGCGGACGGCCACAAACGCGTTTTCCTGCTATCCGACTCCGTGAATACAGCAAGTTCAGAGTGGTCTAATAGCCCAACTTAGGTGTGTGGGGGCATCGCAATCCCCGTTTTTCTGCTGCTCTAGCCCGTGAATTAAGCAACTTCAAAGTTTCCATTCGATTTGCAACCGACATAACACTCTATGCCCACCTGAATTCCAACCACCCAATCAGACTGTTGCATAGCTGCATTCACAAATAATCGATGCCCGAAAAATGTCGCACAAAGTGGCTCGGGACAAAATGCTTTAATCCATAGTCAATTCAGTACAAATTCGTGGTATTCAATTAGTAAAATTTTTTTTTTTTTATCAGATTTCGGGAAATTTATTTTGCCAACTAGATGAAATAATTTTTGTTTTCACTATACCCATCTGCCCGAAAAGTCAGATTACTCGAAAGTTAGGGGGCAGCTTAATAGAACTATAGAATAATATGAGTTACTTTAATAATTCATTCACCTCGTCGTAAACAAATATACTGAATGCTTTTACAATTCAATAAAAAATAAAGTATACAAAGATCATTTCTGATCAGGCGTCAACATACAAAAGCTTTTGTAGTTTTATCACGTGACGTATTCACGCACTAGATAAATTAATACTATTATTACTAATCCCTTGGGGAAAATCTTGGGTAACATATAAAATACGTATATAAATTTACACTCCTAGTCTTGTTTGTAGCTTACTGCTGTTATAGCTTCTTTTTTTGGAAATTTTGTAATGTGACATATTATAGACACAATGTTTCGACCAGATAATATCCTTCTTTTACTAATTTTATCCGGTGATATGGTTTCAGTTCTGCAGAGTAACGGCCTGGAGTTTCTCGAGTGCACCAGTACTTGTTCCGGTTCGTGTAATTGTTGTAATTACAATGACAATGCCCTGGTATTACTGGAAGTGGATGAAGCTTGCGAAACGCAATCAACGGGTCTGATAAAGTCTCAAGGTGCTTTACTGAAGAACGCTAGCTTCCGTGTTTCCCATCCGAACAGCTGTCTTACCAAATTTCCTCAAAACTTTTGCCAGTTTCCTACCATCAAGACCTTCAGTTTAAATAAAAACAAAATACGAGAATTGCCAAATGTGTCATGTTTGAAGAAATTAGTGATATTGGATATGAGTTACAATAGAATTGAAATTTTAAAATCGGGGATATTTGATTCATTGGGGATGTTACGTGATATATATCTTTCTGGAAACCAAATACATACTGTGGAACTCGATGTTTTCCATGCAGGATTGCATAGTATCAACATAGTTTATCTTGATAACAACAAGCTGACTGAGGCTGATGTTTGGGTGTTGAATATAACACACAAGTTCTGTGTCTTTGACCTTAGGTCGAATCAAATTTCCAAAATTACAAACAAAGCTCATTTTAAATTGGATAATAGTGAGACTTATGGACCGGGATACTCTGATTTACGGTATAATAATTTAACAGTTTGGCCAGCGGAAGTTTTAGAAAATCTTGGAGATAGCATACAAATATCACTAAATAAAATCTTACATCTCAGTTTTGATTTTCGGAACAACACATGGAACTGTGATTGCCAATTTTATCCCATGATGTCAGTAGTTGATAATATATATAAACATTTAATCAGGGACCATTTGATGGTTCAGTGTAACAGTCCACCAAATTTGGCCGACAAACTAATTACTGAAGTAAAGATGTCAGAATTGATATGCAACGTTTCAGTTTTCTGTCCCACTGGATGTGTATGCCAGAACAGACCTAGTTCAAACAAAATGGTAATAAACTGTCAAAATGCTGGACTTACCAAAATGCCTCAAAAGTTACCATATCACGAACGTATATATATGTATTTCCAGAACAATTTTATAAGCCAATTACCAGCACTACCTTACATGAAACGAATTGTTTACTTAGATATCTCAAATAACAATTTATCATTTATATCGAGTTCGGCATTCGATGGTGCCCATCGATTGGAGTACCTTAATCTCTCCAATAACAAATTGAATGATTTGCCTAAAAGTTTCAAGAAATTACACCGAGTCACAATAGACATTTCCAATAATACTATAAAGTGCTCTTGTGCAAACGTTCATATGTGTACTCGATCGAATGGAAGAACACTTATCATTGAAAAAGCCAGACTGGGATGTAAGCCGTCTGTTTCTAAGACTAAGCTTATTGGTGTTGTTTTAGGCGTAATAATTACCCTCCTGCTTACCGCCATGTGTGCCTATTTCAGACATGAGCTGTTGTTGTTGTTTTATATTTATATTTTGAAGAACTGTAAGAGGCATACGTCTGACGGGCTTAAGTATGAAACAACGTTCGATGTCTTCGTGATAATTGATGAAGATCAGGACACTGATAGATTGTGGGTTCGAGAACATTTATTGCCGTATTTTGATAAATATTCTATCAAGTCTTACATTTCATATCGTGATGGAATTCCTGGCGAAGTTACGGTTGATGCGAATATTACAAATCTACACAACAGTCGCTCTGTATTGGCTGTTGTTTCGAGGTCATGCCTCAGAACAAAAATGTTTCAACTACAGGAGGCATATGACCATATGATTAAAGCGGGGAATGGTCGATTCGTAATTATTAAACGACTAAATGTGTCTCCATCTTCTGTTAGTAATGGACATATTAGAGCCATGTTAAGGTTGAGACATTTTATACATGAAGACGATCAGCATATTACAGACAAGCTTTTATTTATGGCCCGCAACCAACAAGAATTTTAATATATATGTCATAATAATATATAAACTTTGCGCAAAGCAAAAGATATATTATCTTGGCAAAAGATATAATATCTTGGCAAAAGATATAATATCTTGGCAAAAGATATAATATTGATCCTTGGACATCTATGTCGATGATGATAACAAATCTACGGTTGTTTTTGTTTGTTGTTGTTTTGTTTTAATCGTCTATAATATCACAATCAGAATACGTTGTAAAATGTCTTTAAAGGCATATAATACCCATATATTTTTATACATAATGTGTGTGCACTCCATATTCATAAATAATAAACAAGCGGTATTACCTGTTTTTTGGGGGTTTGATTTATCTGTTTGGTTTGTTTTGTTGTTTACCCCATTCGTGCCTGTAAAGCATGTAGCTTATGCTATGGAGCGGAAAACGTTACATAATTCTAACACTTAACCTATATTAATGCTAATATTATCTTTGTAAACTGATCAGAATTGAATATTAGCTTGGTTGCTACAATAGAATACTATCTTCACTTCAGTGCACGGGGCCGGCGGAAGTAATTCTTGATAAGTGGAGGGGGGTATATAGCATCCTAGGACGTGAGACCCCAGGGGCCGTACTGGGCGTCTAGATCGTCGGAGACTCGTTCTGAACGATTTTTGGGGGTTTGATTTATCTGTTTGGTTTGTTTTGTTGTTTACCCCATTCGTGCCTGTAAAGCATGTAGCTTATGCTATGGAGCGGAAAACGTTACATAATTCTAACACTTAACCAATATTAATGCTAATATTATCTTTGTAAACTGATCAGAATTGAATATTAGCTTGGTTGCTACAATAGAATACTATCTTCACTTCAATGCACGGGGCCGGCGGAAGTAATTCTTGATAAGTGGAGGGGGGGGGGTAGCATCCTAGGACGTGAGCCCCCAGGGGCCGTACTGGGCGTCTAGATCGTCGGAGACTCGTTCTGAACGATTTCTGGCTAATAAGATTACACGGCAATGATGCGGAGCTTTAGTTCTTTTCTAAATCCCTTACTATGCATGAAAACAAAGTCGACTGTATAGTTACCTGTGATGCTGAACAGGAAAAATATGAAAACAGGTTGCGGATCTTTGGTCTTTTTAAGCAGCATTGGGTACTTCAGCAACAAACAAGGATAAATGTTTCCATAAACGTATCTTAATTAACTGACCATAACTGATGGCGGTGAATTATTATGGATACCCTAAAGGACGCAAGAATAGAATGTGGGAAAAACTCTATCCCGTCCGACTTAACTCAGGGATCAGTATAGAGCATAGCTGACTTTTTTTTTTCTTCAGAAAGATAATAATTAAATATGTTAAAATTCTGTGTCGGAATTTAGCAGATCTTATTGAAAGATTTTCTTAAACACTTGCTTCTATGTTACATCCAGGTTTATTCCAGTTAATACTGCATTGTAACTAACCGAATAGTTACTTACTCTCAATAACCTGGAGAAAGGAGTACTTGCGGCCTAAAGCCCCCCGCCCTGTTTCACGTCGCCCCGCCCCATCCCACCCCACGCAACTCCGTCGGGCCTAATGCATATGGTTTGGATAGTAAAGTTGCGAAGGTTACACACCAGTTATTTGATAATCTGATTGTCACCTTGGAGCCGAATCGTTGCCATATTAAGAGAAAATATCATGGTTTAAATGGCAAAATTATCATAGTCAAAATGGTAAAAAAAAATGGTCCTTTTCGAGATTTTTCACTTGCAAATATTACATAATACAAAATTACATAACACAGTATCAAAACAAAAGTTGCTCGACAAAGATTACCAATGTCTAATTTTCAAATTCACACTGACTTTTTCATCGAGAACCTCTTTTCAGAAATATTTTATTTCATTTTATAGAAAATGTCCACAATTTACAGATCATTCTTCAATGACTGCATTTTAAGGGGGGAAATTGGACCGCTTATATATCGACATCAACGTAAATTTATTGCATCGTCTAATAACTGTAAAACTTTTCTTAATGCAAAGCCCACCGTCAAGCTTCGAGCTATTTATAGACATTGAAGGGAAATCCCTCTACGTCATTTCCTCTTCTGAATTGCCCTGCTTTAACGATTGAACGAAGTTTTTTTTTACAGCAAGGTCACATATGCAGTTATCATCACAGTTTAAAAGAATAGTGACATCTTTGCACAGATGTCTTCGTCGTTTTCTGAAGACTCGAATAACCAAAAGCGAAACCCCGTAAGTGTATTTTAGGCTACATCACTGACAACTAAAGTGTATTCTATTTTTTAAGACGCATATTTTTACGTTAAACGTAACGTTTTGGGTTTGTAAAACCGGTAGCCTACACAAAACGGCTAATATTATTATTAGTAATATTACAAAACGGCCAAACGATAATTGGTCATAATGGCAATAAACTATAAACAGTTTATTAACATTAACGCTCCAACCACGTGGGTTTTCTCTGGGTCCTCCGGTTTCCTCCCACTGCTAAAGACCCCTACGTGCAAGCAAATTATTGAAATAAAAAATTGAACCATGTGTTAGTCTCGAAATGACCTAGTTTGTGTCGAGTAGATTACCCCCCCCCCCCCCCTGTTGTTTTCTTGGTAAATATTGACCTCGTTATGAATTGTGATACAAATCGTATCGTAGCACCTGAATCGCAATACGTATCGTATCGTGACTACAGTGGCAATACACAGCACTAAAGTGTAGGCCCTACCTGTGGGAGATTTGTTTATTGTAATCAGTAACCTAGGACCTCATAATATATTTATGCAGAAACATTTTCATATACCAATTTCTTACACCAAATACCGGTACTACAAAAACGACAGGCATAGAAAATTGTGATGACTGAGGTATGCCATAGATATGTTGCAGGAAGACAATGGAATTAATGCAATCAGCTTTCATTAACTCTTAAGGATTCAAATTCAAAATTTTGCTCCAACTGTACAAACAAATGTGCTATGAGGGAAAAAAAATTCTGGATGTCCTGCTCTTATTTTGAATTCCTTAACTGTCAAAGTTTCTTATACATGCACACCACTGTGTACACAAGATTGACATGACCTTGGGTTTTCATCCCATCGGAGCAAATAGACACTGTACTTGCAAGGCCCTACATCCCGCACCACTGACAAGGGGAAACTGAACCGGAAAATCCAGAGGAACTTTCTCAGGCAACACCAGGATCGAACCTAAGATCTCCTGGTCACTGAGCCACCGTGGCTCCATTTTCGAAAATGGTGACACTCGCAGCCTTGGTAAAGCTGGTAGACCCAGATAAAAAAAATATTAATATTTTCAACATATTTATTTTTTAGCGAGTGGCATTTAGTAAAGAAGAATTAGACTTGTGGGCTGAATGTCGTCATGAAAGTTTTTGGTATAGATGTAAGTTCTACAGATATTTAGGTTTCTGTTAACAGTATTTCAACATAAACTAATAATGCCTCTTAAAGATTATTATCGCCATCAATATGGAGATGTGGCAGTAACCTCTATCAATACAGTCAACAGATTAGAGGGAAAATATGTTAAGACGAAGTGTAACCTCACGTTCCTGATGCGATGCAGAGACAACAACATCATCCTCAAAGGTCTACGCCTCAAGTCCCCTGTCCAGTAATAAACCCCTTTGATCTTGTTGTTGTCCTGTATGGTTTCATGAATTGTTGTTACAGTTTTCTGTATATATTGATCTCATAATTCTTGTATTACTGTATTAGCTTGATAACGTTGAGAGAATACTCTTCGAAACGTCGCCCAAATAAATAAGTAGCTGTTTTTCCATAAGTATGTGTTTTTTGTGTATTACCTAGTAATGGTAACCTACTTAAATTGAGCACACATTAAAACTCAGTCTAAATCTGTCATTGAGTCAAGTGGCATGGTTTCAATTTCCCACTTGAATGTGGCAAGGAGTAGGCTTGCTTGTCCAACCTCGTTGGCTTCCCACTGCTAAAGACACCTATGTGCAAGCAAATTATTGAAATCAAATTGAACCATATGTTAGTCCCAAAATAGCCTACTTTATGTCAATTGGCCATTAAACCCCATCTTACTTTGATTGCTCAATGCTTTATTAAAGGATAAATGTGCAAAAAATTAATTTTTGAGTGAGATCTATTTTGAGATGGTTGGAGGGAACATCAGCCTCAGTGTTGGCTTAATAGACGTACAAAGAAAATATACTTTATTCTTCAGTAGAATGTAAGCATTTTAATGAAATAGTTTGTTGGATCTTTGCCTCTCTAAATTTTATCTTTGTAGTATTCCATAATAATTTATTTTAATTTTATCATTTCAGGTCTTCCGTTCTCTGTAGGAGGTGTGCTAGCAGTGCATACTCTGACAACTATAGGTATATTATGACAATACGTTACATACATTATATCTGTACAGTTGCAGGTTATTCTATTTTCAGTGTATTTCCTGAAGCTAATGTTGTATTTCATTTGAATTTAATGTTGTTGTTAGCATAGGCGTACGAGCCAGGGGGCAGCTGCCCCCCTAACTTTCGGGCAAGCTGACATTTCGAGCAGACGGGTAAAGTGAAAAAAATTTTTTATTTCATCTACTTGGCAAAATAAAGTGCCTGAAATCTAATAAAACACTAATTTTACGGGCTGGAATAGCAGTAAAACGCGTTTACGGCCATCAAATATTCAGCTCCGCTTCTTCGCCTCTCGAAGAAAACCAGCGCTGCTGTCTGTAAACCTGCAATTTTTTCGGGCATTTCTAGTTTTGCTTCCCTGCCATCGAGCCCTAATAAAACACTAATTTTATTTTCATTTTAATTGAATACCACGAATTTGTACTGAGTTGACTATGGATTAAAACATTTTGTCTGGAGCCACTCTACTTTTTGCGACGTTTTTCGGGCATCGATTATTATCTGTGAATGCAGCTGCAACAGTCTGATTGGGTGGTTGGAATTCAGAATGGGATTTCGGTTACAAAACCATTGGATACTTTAGGAGTTGCTTACACGAGCTAGAATAGCAGAAAACACATTTGCGGTGGTTAAATTTTCAAAAATTTCTCCGGGAGTTTGAGACCCCCATACCCTGCGACGATTGATTGGTTGTTTGGAATTCGGGTCAGCCAGGCAGGCTATATTGGACCAAATTGAAGTTGCTGTATTCACAGGCTGGATTAGCTGGAAAACGTGTTTGCGGTATTTAAATTTTCAAAATTTTCTCCCAACGGGCCTGTCTCTGTGGACTGTAAACGATTGATCTTTTGATTGGAATTCGAGCCAGCCATCTTAATTAGCCTATATTAGACCACTTTGAAGTTGCTCTGTTCACGGGCTGAAATAACAGGAGGACGTGTCAAAATTTTCTTGGGGGGGGGGGGGGGGTCCACACAAGGTAAGCTTCGATTCTTCTCTTCTCGAGGAAGACCGTGCCACTGTCTTTAAACCCGAAATTTTTACGGGCATTTCGGGTTCCTGCCCCCCTAACTGTTATCGAGCCCGTACGCCTATGGTTGTTAGTTAGTTGTATTTTACGTCTGTTTCCACCAAGGTGATATCGCAGACAAGAATTTGAATTTAAATTTATAAACGGAGTTTATATTCATGCAAGACAGAAGCCTATACATTTTCTAAATTAATCAAACAGGATTAAAGATTCTTTGAAACCATGTTCTGTTGCTACTTTATCATGGAATAAGTCAACACATTCTATGCTGTGCCTGAATAGTCATGTCATCATATTAGCCTAAATTATAGCCATGAGTGATTATTAGGATGCCACTCAAATAATTATAAAATGGGATTCATAAAGTAAGTTACATAATGGCTCAATATTTTGAGCTGAAAGTTTTAAAGCAGCCCTTTGGGTCATTTCAGTTTGGTTTTTTTAATTTATATACTACAACAATTTTTATCAAATGGTATCCTGTTACTATTTCTTTGATGTTCTCACACTGTCCAACTATGTCTTCGTATACTCACTCAACAAATTTTCTTCTTCGCATATTTTTACAAAAGTTATTTATTGAATACATATATTTATTTTTATTGAATACATATATTTATTTTTATTAACAGGAATATTGAAACCACATCCACGATATGGAGCTCTCTTTAAAAATATGGGTAAAGTATGATTTAGTGATTTCTCTGTGCATTCTCCTTCAGAGCAACTAAAATGTGGAATGATCTTACAAAAACACTTTGAGAGTTCTCTTCCATCCAGTCCTTTAACACTAACTTAAAAACACATTTATTTCAAAAATGTTTTTGAACTGTTTTGTTGTGAATGCACTTGTGTAATGCTCCGCTTTATAAATCAAACAATAACAGTAAGAAGTCAATGGATATTTGTTCAAATGAATTTCCTCACCCCTTGTAGGTTATTTTTGGACATTTTTAAGAAGAAAATTCTGACATATGTCATTGACAGATAAATGATTAATATAGTGTTGTTAGTCTAACCAAATGAACACTATGAATAGGTGATTAAGTCCAGTTGGATTCTTGTTTAATCGCTCCCTACCAAAGTTGACTTCTGAAATTTTTATTTATATATTTTTGTTGTAGGAGTTGTTTTGTTAGGTTTTTTCGCTGGAAAAGCATCTTACATGGAAACATGCAAAGATAAGTTTAGGCAGAGACTTCCAAATAGTAGAATGACTAATTTGTTATCAGGTCGAGGATTTAACTCTGAACAGAATGCAGACATGTATGTAAATATTTTTTTAACAACTGATTTTGATTTGAAATATTGTTATAATGTTAACTGCTTTTGTATGCCCACGTTGTTGTCAAGTACATATGTTCGTAGTCATTCTATCAAACTTGAAATACTCTACACAATACAGTTCTTTTCAGGTTCAGATTGTTTGCAGATCTGTAGGTATTATTAATTTGATAAGGAAGAATTCAAAAGAGATTTTTCTGCATTTATGCTAAAAGAACATTATGAACATGATACAAGACAGAGCTCTTTATAGAATTTTTAATAATTTTGTGGGAATTCTGAATAGGAAATAAGGACGAATCATGTAAATATACAAACTTTTCAAACACAACTTATAGAGCAAACTCTTTTTACATTTTTAATTTTGATTCTTATCAATAGCAATCATGTTGAGTGGCTGACATGTCTAACAAGCCTGTTGTCTATTTATGTCTGTTCACAGACCACCACATATGTTCAAATCATTCCAAAAATGACCTGGTAGTTGTTTGGACGCCCACATTTGAATGAGGTTGATTGCCGTTCATATGTAGTTCAATTCACACTACTATCTTGCTAAAAGGTGTTAGATGCCATACTTTTAGGTTAAAGATGTATATTATATAAGATCTAAAACTGCCTATTGCATGTCTTTATTTTTGCCTCAAATCTTATATAAACTATTATTTAGTCACATAACGAGAAACCTGCAATCAACTCTCTAAACTATCAGATGGCAGAGATTTAAATGGATTAGGACATTCTTGATAATCAACAATCTCTGAAACATCTTTAAACACTCATACCTTCGCTTAGAATATTGTAATTTGGAAGAAATTTTCCATATATTTACTTTTCATTATCTATTATAGCAAGAACGGCAAGCTCTTTTTCTAAATCTTACATGATGCATCTTGAATTGAAAAGAAGACATCTGTTTTGAAGGATTTTTAGTTTTTGAACAAATTAATTTGGTTTTATTCCTTTATTCTTATACAGAACTAAAATTAGGGAATGCACCACAGAATTTTTCATTTCCATGATGAGTATATTTTTCAGTATATGTTTTTCCAATTCAGGACAGCCCCTGCAGAAGTGAACAAACCTGAGGAAGATAAACCACTAAGAGAAACTTATAGTAGTTTGGACCTGAATGATCAGTATTTAGAAAACCAACCAGTACCATGTAAGTTAACAGATTTAAATGATAAAAATGTGTCATGTGATGTAAATATATATATATATATCCTTGTGTTTATCTGGTTTTGTGATTCCCTTTTTGTCTTTCATCATTTAGGGCGGCCGAATGGTTAAAGTGTGCACGTTGCATTATAAGGTCTGTCATTAAATCAAGTGGTGTGGTTTCAATTCCCTATTTGGAGTAGGTTTGCATTCCAACCCTGTGGGTGTTCTCCAGGTTGTAGCACTTTGGCCCTTGAGACAATTTTGGGTCTTTATAAAATTGTCTCTTCAATTTTGTCTATAAAGTCAAATCTCACGTACTTAATGAACGTGGGTATAGTTATTCGTAAAAAACAGTGATATTTTGGTCAAATTATAATCATTGTCAAAATAGTCAGTTAATTCTGGCTATTAATTGACCTATGGTTGATAGACCAAAAATAGGTAATGTTTCCTATCTTATTTGTGGGAAATAAAGAGTTTTATTCCTTATATGTCGTGGAAATTAACGTCAAGGTTGTCGAAGACCTGCAGAAATTCGGGGGTATAAATTAGGGTGTAGAGGCGAGCTGGATTAGAGCTCACCCAGAAATTCCTACCAGCCATTATCATTGAGAACGAGGAACCTGCAAAGCCAGTACAACTTACAAATAAAGTTGTGAAATTATTTTATGCTGTAGTCTTATTAAGATCACCAGAAAGTAAACACAACAAGAAGAAGTCCTATAGTATTACAAGGTCCCCCGGTTTCCTCCCACTGCTAAAGACCCTGACGCGCAAGCTACTTAATAAAATTGAACCACATGTTAGTCCTGAAATAACCTAGTTTGTGTCGAATGGACTTTAAACCCCATTTCTCTCTCTCTCTTTCATCATTAAGGTCAAATTCAGTGTTGATGAAGAATAATAAAATATCTTCTTTTATTGATCTTAAAAATATATTGATTAGTCACTGATAAATTAATGATAGTCGGCAACGAAATATACACATACTTGACAAGGATTAGCCCAACATAGACTGCCATACTACTGTAAGTTTTAGCAAACATTTTGTTGATCGAGTGTTAGTTGGTACAAATATCAACAAAAAAGTGTTTAAAGATGTTTGTTACACAATGAATTCAATAATGTTGAGAAATGGATAAAATGCGGATGCTATTATCTTGTTGTTTGTTAAATATTATAGCTACAGATGACATCAATACAAGAATTGACAGTAATAAAAAGCCTACGCTTACTTATGACGAATTACGAGCTAAGAATCGAGCTGATGCAAAGAACGACACTCATCTTTTTGCTCACCCATGGATTAAAGAACCAGAGAGTGAACCAGAACCAACCAAATCACATTATCAATCTATATTAGACAATAACAAAAAAAATTATAGTAAGATTTTGATTTTGCCATATGACATTTTACAAACCAACTTAACCCTTAACTGGTCTACGTCAAAATCATGAAGTCAAGTGGTCAGTCTAAATAAAGGCTAAAGGGAATATAAATCATTTTCATCAGAAATATCGTCTTCAGAATCGGTGTCGTAGATATAATCCGAGTCAGAATCATTCATAAGCATTTCAACCACTTTGAGAGTCTTTAACCTTCCCGACATCGTTAAAAAATTACGTTTTTGTCAAAAAATGTTGAACAAAGACATGTTTTTCTCAATGCCCTTGACAAGACAAGTTCCTGACTGACACGCATGCGTGGCCATATCAATTAAATACGAAACTAAATACTCAAATGCAGCATATAAAAAAAGGTTCTGTCTGTGGTCGACTGCGGTCAACAGTGACCACTTAGCTGTATAGAGTTATGGTGACTATAGTCGACAAAGACCGGTTAAGGGTGAACCCAATGACATTAATTATTTTATTGGAATAATAACGTTCCCCTTTAAGTTAACTTCCCATACTGGTTGATTTGATGATATATTTGGACTAAAAACTAATTTATCTATCAAAAATTTGCTTCAAATCTCTCTCAAAAAATTGTATTCGCAAGGAAGTACCCTAAGCTATAAAACATCTATAAAAAGAAGTCATGTGTGTGTCACGTGACTTGCTCGTCATAGGAACTAGCAACAGAGGAGAATTCATTGCATATAAAAGACAGTGTCTTTAATCGCTGTCCATTTACCATAAATATCAAAGCCTAATTAAATTCTCGGATTATCCCCTGCCCACGTCTTTTATCACAGAAACTGTTGTACGCTTAAGTCTCTCATTTTTCCCCCCACGAACATTGCCCACGATTAAGTCATAGCTTATTTTAAATATAGATTGATATAAATTGTTAATTATTTTGTGTTTCAGGTGGTCAGAAAAAGAATCAATATGGTGATGTATTGGATTCATAGAGATTGGTGTTTTTGTAGTATTAGTTAATAATAATGTACATAATAATGTTTAGGTTTATATTAAACAAATTTATAAAGTATCGGATGAAATAATATAATGAATGTATAGCTAAACAGAGTTCTTGTCATTATTCTACATCCTCAACACTGATGTGGACGTGAAAAGTTTTCATTATTGTAAGTGATTTAAATAGCAACAAAATTAAACCTATACCATGTGGACGTCACAATATTTTTTTAGACTAAAAGGCAATTACAGAACCGTATCATTTAATTTAAAAAATTTCGCATCCTAAAATTTTGACACATTTTTTTGAGCTCTATCTGTGCATATTTTGACTGTGAACACTATACAGAATAAAGTAAAATATGGATATTTATATGCCCACATTTTAATTTAGTTATCTGTAACAATGTCGATTGTTCACATTTCTTGTTAGCAGCTACAATAATCCATACATTTATTTGAAATTAATATGGTATATTTCAGAGTTATCCCCTGTTAGTTACTTTCAAATCCATGATAGCTTGGGGATGCTCAATTGATTGTCAGTCCGGAACGTCCCGAATTTACAGAATTGCAATCGAGTGGCATGAAATTTATTCCTGTCACAGTTCTGTCCCAAACGAGTAGACTCGTGACCTGATTAAACACAAATGTTTCAGCTGTCATGGTTGGTTGAGATTTTCTTATACAGTCAACGCAAGTGTTGTAGCCTGAAATCACACTTTTCTCTCGATTGTTTCTATTATGGGGATTTAAAAAATTCCATTCCAATTTGTCACAGTTCACTCAAATTGATTATTTAACATTTATAAGATAATCTTAAAGCTTGGATTCAATCCGATTAAGATAGGTTGCCAGGCAACAAAAAATACGCCCACAGCAGCTAAATCGTCCGAGCAGTCGACAAGGGTTGTCGCATATTTATTCCTTTGTTGGTAATTGGGGGCCTTTACAAGACAATTCCATACAGATTCGATTATAAATTTTGTCTTTTGAGGGTTTACAAGGTTCTACAAACTGAAACAAGGGTCTCAACTCTGGAAGTAATCTACAGAAATTGTTGAAATTTGACAGGCTTTTTCGTTTTACTAATTTAAAAGATAGGTTGCCAGACAACAAAACATACGCAGCTAAATCGTCCCGGGGGTCGACAAGAGTTGTCGTATATTTTTTTTTGTAGGTAATTAGGGGGCATTTAATAGACAATTTCATACAGATGACATTATAATTTTCGTCGTTTGAGGGTTCACAAGGTTCTAAAAACTAAAACATGGGCTGTAACTCTGGAAGTAATCTACAGAAATTGTTGAAATTCGACAGGCTTTTTCATTTTACTAATTCAAATAATGCATATCAATTTCATACAGATCGGATGATAACTTTTGTCGTTCGTACATTCACAAGGTTCAACAAAGTAAAACAAGGGCCATAACTCTAGAAGTAATTGACAGAAATTGCTGACATTCAATAGGCTTCTTCATTTCACTAATTTAAATGATGCATATGAATTTCATACAGATTGGGTGATAACTTTTGTCGTTCAAGCGTTCACAAGATTCAACAATGTGAAACAAGGGCCATAACTCTAGATGTAATTAACGGAAATTTGCTGAAACTCAATAGGCTTGTTCGTTTTACTATTTCAAACGATACCTATAAATTTCATACAGATCGGATAATAACTTTTGTCGTTAAAGCATTCACAAGGTACAATAAAGTGAAACAAGGGCCATAACTCACAGTGTAATTAATGGAAATTGCTGAAATTCAATAGGCATCTTCGTTGCACTAATTTAAATGATGCATATCAATTTCAAACAGATCGGATGATAACTGTTGTCATTAGAGGAGCGTTCGCAAGATTCAACAAAGTGAAACAAGGGCCATAACTCTAGATGTAGTTAACGTAAATTGCTGAAATTCAATAAGCTTCTTTGTTTTACTAATCTAAATGATGCATATAAATTTCATACAGATCGGATACAACAAAGTGAGCAAGGTACAACAAAGTGAAACAAGGGCCATAGCTCACGGCGTAATTAACGGAAATTGCTGAAATTCAATAGGCTTCTTCGTTTCACTAATTTAAATGATGCATATCAATTTCAAACAGATCGAATGATAACTGTTGTCATTAGACAGGGTTCCCGCGGCTTCGTCAAACATTTTTTCAAGGATAAATAGACGTCAAATTCAAGGATTTTCAAGGACATTTTTTAGCCTAAAGTTACAATTTTTCATCTTAAAAATAACCAAAACATTACCAACTATCTTTATAATCTCATATTTAAAAGGAATTGAAGACATTTGAAACAAAATTAAGGAACTCAACTGAAATTCAAGGATATTTTCCTATTTCCGCGAAATTCAAGGATATTCAAGACCTTGAAAATGAAATTTTAAATTTAAGGATTTTCAAGGACCGCGGGAACCCTGATTAGAGCGTTCACAAGATTCAACAAAGTGAAACAAGGGCCATAACTCGAGATGTAATTAACGGAATTTGCTGAAATTCAATAGGTTTCTTTGTTTTACTAATTTAAATGATGCATATAAATTTAATACAGTTCGGTTGATAACTTTTGTCGTTAGAGCGTTCACAAGGTGCAACAAAGTGAAACAAGGGCCATAACTCCAGAAGAAATTAACAGAAGTTATAGAAATTAAATAGGCTTCTTCATCTCACTAATGCAAACAACATATATCAATTTCAAAACAATCAGATGATAAATGTAGTCTGTAGAGTGTTCACAAGAAATTGTGGACGACGGATGGACGGGGGCAACAGCTATATACGACCACATTTCCATTAAAAGATATTAGCCCAAATGGCCCCAAATTTCGTCAAAACAACCAGTTTGATCATAATGACCATTAAGATATTTGTTATTTAATATGAATACAATGATACATATTAAAATTTTGAACAAATATATGTGGCCATTTTGACTGAACATGTGAAGTGAATGTTTGCCGTTTTATTGTCACATCTTTGTAAATAATAAACAGTATTGAAACAATTTTGAAGTGAAATTCCTTTAAAGAGATTCAATTTTCACAATATTGTAGTTTGCAAAGGGGTTAAAATTCCTGAACAGCTTTAATCATGACAGGGGTTGGATGGCCGAATGATAGCACGTGCAAGTTGTATCTTAAGGTCTGTCATTGATTCAACTGGCGTGGTTTCGATTCCCCACTTATACGTGACAAGGAGTAAGGTCCTCCGGTTTCCTCCCACTGCCACTGGTAAAGACCCCTACACACAAGCTATTTATTGATATAAAATTGAACCCCATTTCTCTCTCTCTTTAATCGTGACCGTGTTTATAAAATCAGACATAACAGATCACTACCAATATGTGTTTTCTGGTAGGACCAGAGCCATAATATATAGATGCATCTACATGTATTTATCAATTAACAATATTGCTTTCTTGGCCTGACCTTAGTGCTATTCAATTACAGAATCTTATCCCATTCCTACACATAAATCTTAAAGATACTATCCAACGTACAAACTGTGTGATTTGATGATATATTTGGAGTATAAACATATTCAAACTAATTAATCGGGTTGCCAGTTAGTGATACCCTGACATTTTTGCCCAGTGTTGCCCTGTGGGTGTTTTTCAGGTCATCCAGTATTTTTCTAGTAAGATTGGGGGTTTATACTTTCCATATAATCCAAATTTGCCATACTTTTATTGGAAATAAACATCCGATAGATACTTTTGGAACAATTATCTTTAAGCAGAACTATCATTCCATTCATTTTCTCTGAAACTCATTATTTTATGTTTGTTGTTTTCTAATGTTGGTCTATTAAACATACATTATGCAAGAGCTAATTCTGCCTATTGCAGACCTTTCTTTAGGCTTGAAATGTTATCTAAATTATTAATTAGACATTAATTAACTTATCCAGATCATAATCAGCTCTCGATGTCATTGCTAGTCTGCGATGTTTATTAGATTATGATACCATTTTTTTGCACTAATTTCAATCTTGATTTAATCATGAAATGGATAATCAATACTATGTTTTTTATCTTACCAACTTTAGTAATGATCATCGAGGCTAGGTTGAAAATTCAATCGCTAAAATCTTGGTTTAGAGTGGATTAATTTGACTAATTTTCAGCAAATTCCCTTTACATTCTCTAGTTTCTTTATATTAAAGTGGAAACTGCCAGCTCTTTATCTAATCTCCCATAATGAATCTTTAAACATACAATTGTGTAATAAAATGGTGCCCAAGAAGGCAGTTGATCAGAGTCTCTCAATATATGACTAATTGGGATGAAATATAACACAGACAACATAATATGTATTTTGTTTTATCTGGGATTATCGACTATATATATATATATAACACAGACATTTACGATAGCTGATATACTATACAGCAATACTATTAACTAGTTAAAAATAGATGATTCTATTTACATAATGTCAACAATGAGGTGGGGGCATGACTATTACCTTTTATTATTTATAGGAACATTGTCATCTACATTTACACAATATTTGACCTGACTTGTATTTACTACCAAAGCAAACCTTTTGGAACACATAAATGTCAATTTTCTGTCCATATCTTATTGGTTTTTAACACAAATCTAGCATGTACTTGCTGTCCTTTGCTACAAATTCCCAGACTACGTGAGTACAGATGATGTAGGACATATCTTAATATTTCTAAACCCACAATACCAATATACTTCAGTTTTGTGAACGACAATGTACCTGTAAAGATTTGTAGATAATTGATATGGCCAGAGAATATTAAATGGGAAGAAAAAAGGTATGTGGATGAAATTTCTAATCGAAGCAGATTATTTAGAATAATTTAACCATGCGTATTGATATTCACAAAATAAAATCATCACTTTCAAATATATTGACAGGAATTGTAAAAGATTTTGTCATCTCAGTGATTTCTCTATTTTCTTCAATAAGATGATCAAAATAGATGATTTGGCTGCATTGAAAATTTCTAAACTTTTATCAGTAGTTTGCCATCTTCAATAGGACCTCCACTTGGCCTATGGCAGTCTTGAGGGGTTTCATATGAATCAATTGGTAATAAATAGGTTACTTTGATTACTTCCTTTCAAGAAAAAACTGCTCCGTGACTATATTTACAATGATTGTATGTTCACAACATAGTGTTTAAAATATAAGATAATGAGGTGAAAGTTTTATGATAAGCACTTCAAGTACAATAAGAGTTTATTTTTTCTGTTTTTTAGGACGACCTCTGTTATCTGGTGTTCCATCTGCTTTTCGTTTGTTAGCACCCTGTAAAAACAAACGTCCCATATTAATACAATCTGATTAGAGAAATAACCTCAAAATATTCTTGTAAAGCTCAATGCCAGAAGATAAGTTGAATATATGTATTCAGTACAGAGTTGGGTTTATGAAGCTAGCTTATACTTAATGATTTGTCTTGAACACACACACACTCTATATTAGTTTTGCTACTTTCAGTAACTTGCAGAAGTATGAATGTAAAGTTAATGTACAAATCATACATAGAATGGGCCACCAACAACTAAGGCATTCTAGAGTGTGTCCAGATTTGAAAAATACAAGAACAATTATCAATAATACCTTGGGTGTTCCTGGTCTTGATCCTTTCTTTCGCTTTTCTGCCTTTTCTCTTTCTTCTAATTCCATATTTTCTCTTTCTATTAATGTAATTAATGTATTACATCTACGCTGTAATTCCTACAAATAAAACATTACAATTTACAATATAAAACTGAATTGGGTTTAATAACTTGTCAACAGAATATTGACATCATTTTGAAACATACCAATGGTAATTTTTATTTCTGGGGTTATGTGCGATGCAAGGCAACAGAATTTTGCTCAGGCAATGTGTCCTCTTTATGACTAGATACAGGTGGTGGTTCTCTACCCATGCCAGGATTCAAATCAACAAATACGGTTTAGTAAAATTATAGGTGGTGCTAATTTTGGCAATATCCCACTTATATTGTTTGCAGTGTATGTCGAATGTTTACCCAAATTGAACATATTTTGGACTAAACTGAACAAAGTTTGGATTGATATTTCTATAGAGATTCCACTTTCAGAATATTGTAGTTTGCACAAGATTAAAAAATCCTCAAATGATAAGAGACTTCAAGATAGTAGTTTAAAAGATTAAATAAAACATAATTCTAGGGTTGATACTATCTTGATCTTGATGTTCATGGATACATACAAGTTGTTCATCGGTAAAAAATTGACATTTTGCTATAGTTTTTTTTTTATCATTGTAAAGCATTGATAGTTAAATGTATTTTCTCCACTTACCATTGCTGTCCTCGATTTAATAAACCAGTCAAATCGAAACTGAGGTGCTTGCCGAACAGCTTGACGTAATTCATCATAAACATTTTCTTTATCAAAACCAAGTTTATGTAACATACACACTAAAAATCTATCTTCTTCTTCTGTATAATTTTTACCTTTGTTAGTACCATATTGTATTCGTAGTTGATGGAATGGTGCACGATATCTAGCCATCTAAAACAAGTAGAAACAATCAGCTTTAAATGAATCTAAAAACTTATTAGCAGAACTTTTACTGAGGTTTATTATATACTAGTTACTAGTAGGAGTTGTCAGATTTCGTACCTTGGCATCTAAAGCTTTCTTTATACCAATACGTCGTTGAATTCTGGCCTCACCACGATCAATCTGTGCCATAATTTTTTCAATATCCTGTAATTCATTGCATCGCTCCCAAAATACCGTAGAATACTGAATTACCTGTAAAACGGAGAAGAAAATATATTTACACACCATTGCAAGTAAAATGTTAGTATCATTTCTCAGAATATAAATTCAGAACGCCAAATATATATAGGTTACTATATCCTTCAAACCACCAAGTTTCTCAAATACGGGGTTTGAAAACTCAATTAGATATATAAGGGATAATAATTGAAACGGTAGCAGATAACGGTGCTTCATTTTTAGAATTTCTAAATTTATATTTACGAATTAGTATCAATACAAATTATTTCAATCTCCATAAATAATTGCAACTTTAACAGAAAAACATTTAGATAACTTACTTCTTCTGGGCTTTTTCCTTCCACTTCCCTTGCTATACTATCAATATCATCGCGACCATATTTCTCATTAGCTTTGATAAACTGTTGAAAATCTCGCTTCGACCAATTTGTGAAACCCTACAATAAATCAGTAATATAGTAAGTTCACAGAAGACGGATAACGGATTATTATAACTTTAAGCAAGATATCTGAACAAAGGTTAACTATAGTTTCAGACAGACAAAATCAAATGCAATTTTATTTGAAAAAAAAAACATTTTGGTTCAGAAATTATTAAAATTGATCAACTTTAACTTCAGTTATGGTCACTTTCAGTTCACGTGGGTTTCTTTTAATTTCATACTGAAAACTACCCGTTTGAGACAAATACAGTAAAATTATCTTATGTATATGATTACTATATTATCCTTTCACACACACCTGTCTTATTATATTTTACTTCCATAGCTACAACGTTTAACCAGTGTTGTGTACCAATTATACAGTTACGACACCCTTACAAGGTATTTTTCTACATAATTGTTGAACAACAATATCGTGAGATCACCATCAAAATTGAACATAATACTTGACATGTGACATACATCAACTGAATCCATAACATTTATCTATCTCTTGTATTATTCATTGGTTTGATTTATATTCCTAGAAAAAGATAGGCTGCCAGGCAATGAAACCATCAATCTCCACATCCCCTTGCAATCTGGATAACAATAATGTAAACTTACCCCATTACTGCCTTGTTTTAATAATTCTTCTTTCTCCTCTAATTCTTCTTCACCTAGAGGCTCAGCCTCATCTATTCTATCTTGTTCTTCTTTACGGATTTTATCAGCAGTATTTCCTAATTCTGGATTCTTGGGCACCCGATAGCCTATTGACTTACGATAAAAATAAATCTCCCGATCCAAAAGTTCAAATAATCGAGGAGGAAAGAACTGGAAATCTTGAATGTTGGGTTGTTTGGGTGGTCTAGGAGCCTACAATATACCATGTTAATATTTTAAATTTCCATTACATAAAAAAAAATATGTGTAATACGCTCAAATTGGGTAATTCAGAACATTACAGTGTTTAGATTGTGCTATTTAAGTGTGGCGCATCATTCATAGTAAAATGTGCTTCACTAGAAATATCTGATAAAATGATCAATTTCTGTTAACTATATTTCCCCAATGGTTTGACTAGATTTTCTACACACTGGTTATATTTTCAAGATCTTGTCTGTCATTAATGACAAGATTTTTTTGTTCCAAGTTATTATCACTACAGAGCATGCTTTACCTTGGGTGCCTTGGGTTCACTGACACGTAACGCTTCTCTGAAGTATGCATCAACAGCATAATTAGCTTTCCTCTCTCTCTTTGGAGGTTCGATCCATCCAATACCTCCCATTTTATGTTTCTCCCTATAATCTTCTCCTTCAAATTTATAAACACTATGTTCATTTGATTCCATGGTAAAATTCCGTAATGATGATTCTCCAAGTTGATCAAGTTTAGCTTTCATTTCCTCTGTCTGTAAATAAACAATTCAAACTTCAAAACAACAGAATAAATTATTATCCAGAGAGACAGTATTTTACATGTTAAGATTAAGTATTTCTTGACTAATTCAGTACTTTACAACTTTACAGATAATGAAAGATAAAAAAATGAGTAAGTATGGAAATATCTTTAAACAAGGGCAATTACTCTGGGAGAGTACTTCTCTGAAAATACTTATAGTTTGATAACCCAATGCTTACTATGTGAAATCTTTACCATAATACTAACTTTGACTGAAAATTTGTTAAGATGTTAATTCGGTGGATATATATTTTATAAATAAGTTACTTACTCTTTGTTCTCCCTTTGCAAGGATTTCATCCACATCTTCATCTGTAATTTCACTGTCTTTAGAAGCAAATACATGACTAGCACCATGTCTAATCATAGTTAATACTTCATCTTTACCTAATTTATTAGCGGCTTGATCTACTAGTCGACCTATAATATAATCAATTCAGATATCAATAGTTTGTTTGCAAACAGAGTTTAACTACTTGTTAAAAACACATTCTGACGATACATCCCCCACCACACCTCATAATGTACATCTAGCGTAATGTCTAATGTAAAGTAACCACTACACAGTTTAAAATAATGGAAATGTAATGAGTAATGGGGCATTTAAAAAGTAAAGAGTATTAGAAAAGAAATTAATTGCACTCCAAATATCATGTTAAAATCATCTAAATACACCATCATAATCATGTTCTTCTCCAATGTGCTAGGAGGGAAATTTTGCACGGACAGCAGCGCTACTGCCTACTCTTTATTTCAAATTCCAATAGTTAAGGGGTTTTTTTTTAAATGCACTACAACGTGTGCACAGGACCTTGGTTTTTAATACATCCAAACAACCAGACACTGTTCCTTGGCAGGTCTTTCATCCTGCACCACTGACATGGGGAAACCATATTGGAAAGTCCTGAGGAACTTTCTCGGCCAACATTGGGCCTCCCTAAAATATGTTAAGGGTCATGTTGATAACCAGTAAATTTTTCATAGCATACACAACTGAAAATGGCTACATGGAAATTACCTTGTTGTATAACTATACTGTCTAATTTCAGTTTAAGTTCAGCTTTTTCAACAATTCTTTCTTCTACTGTATTTTCTGTTATAAATCGGAATACTTTTACTTGTTTCTTCTGACCAATACGATGAGCACGATCCTACAATAAAATTAATAATTACAGAAAATTAAAGTATTATGGAATTTTTTTTTTTTTTCAACCATAACTTAATTAGCTATTTCATACCTTATAGAAACTTATATGGACTTTAAGTTTATACAATAATGTTGAACTTCAAATAATGTTAAATTAATATATAACACTAGATAACAATCAGACAAATTAAAGTAAATGAAGCTAGGCTAAAACTGTGTAATAATAAATGACCTAAATTAGACATAAGTACCTCAAAGAGAAATTAATTGATAAATATGTGTAAAGTCCATAACTGGCAAAATCATTCTATGCAATTTTCCATCTGGAGATAAATGCAATTCAGTAGCAAAAACCCTGCATATTCCAAGCCCTCCTAGTTAAAACACTGATAAATTATTTAGTTAATCCTGTGATGAATTCTATTAGCAACTGAATATTTTTTACATACCATAGCTTGTAAATCACACTGTGGATTCCAATCAGAATCAAATATAATAACAATATCAGCTGTTGCTAAATTAATACCCAGACCACCAGCTCTAGTACTCAACATAAATATAAACTTCTTACTACCAGGTAGATTAAAATCATTGATCGATTGCTGAAAAAAACAATTCATCTCTAATAAATAACATAAAATATTGTCTAATATAACAGTCCAGAAATAATGGATCATTGCTGAGTTAGAAGATAAACCCTCAAACCAGATTCAACAATATTCAATCCGTCTTGAGATAATAAGGGGTTGAAATGTCGTGCAACACACACCCCTTTCATTGACCAATCAAGGAAATATTTAATATGATCATAAGAATGACAACAGGTTTTCTGTTAACAACCCACATTGCGTATTTTACCAATAACAATTCATCTTGTTTTATTGTATTACATCAATACCATATGATTAAGCACATAGATGGGCAGCATACTGCATTTATACAAAATCTGACAATAACTTACTGCATTTTGTTTTTTGTTTAATTTATATAAGGATTATTGGAATAATACATACTTGTCTTTCTTCGTGTGGCGTTTGTCCATCTAATCGACAATAATCAAACTGTCTCCAAAAACAATAATCTTCTAATATATCTAACATACGTGTCATCTGACTGAAGATTAACACTCGAGAATCTGTAACAAACCATTTAATAAATAACATTAGGCTAACAAAACCTCTGATTTTCATACTTTAGCCAATCTAGATGGACATATGCATATACTGATGAAAAATAATCACTGCTTTGAATTAATACACTTTGTACAAAATATGGACATTGTGGAACTCCGATACAGCATTACCTTTTTACTTCAGTAATAATTAACTTTAATTTTCACTGGTAGTACGTTAACAGTGTGTCATTGGTTGGTGCACATGCTTAAAAAATGTATTGCAGTCACGATCAACTGGTATCCAGTGGTCTTATACAGTCCTAACATTTATCTTATCGACAACTGCTATGATCACATTCTACATGCCCCAACTTCTGCACATATCAGCTGATGTTCTGTGAATACTCTGTAGATAAACATACATACCTTGTGCTTTTAGTTTTGGCAAGAGTCTATCTAGGATTACCATTTTGCCACTGTTTTCAAATATATGTTTATCTGTTGTGTAAGGAGGTCCTAAAAACAAAAAAAACTTTTAAACTATACATCTACCTCATCTCTGATATCAGGGAATGTTTTTATCAGGTTAAGCATTCCTTGGCATACATTCACTGGTAGGCATGCTACATAAAATAAGTCTCTTATGACATAAAACACAATCTGTATTAGCCAATCAATCCTGATTACTTACCAGGTTCAGCACCATCAAATAAATATGGATGATTACAACATTTTCTCAACTGCATAAGAATATTCAAGAGCCTCATTTTATCTGATTTACCAGCTCCATTCACTACATCAATATCCTTCATCAGAATCTTAGTATACCTAAATACAATGAGATATAAATAGATGTATACTTCTTTAAAACTTATTTAACCATACTCCAGCAAGCACTTTACCTCGATGATGTTCTTAACTTATCCATTACCACGAAGTGAACTGTGTTGAACTTTACACCACATTTACACTATAATACACCTTCAGAATGATTTGGGTGTAGTATTGTTCTACACTATAGACAATATAGTAGTATGTTGTCTGTCATACAATGATGACCCTACTGTATTAGTAGTTATAAAATAAAATAAAACCAAGTATGAACAATCCAAACCATTAGACAAAATTCGAAGTCCAAAAAAAACGGTATAGGCAAAATAGTGTAATACGGCAAAATAGTGTAATCAGCATATGGACTGTTCACCGTGTACAAATACAATATTTACCATTCTCTCTGCATGGCTGATAAACCAACAAATATCTTGATTTCTTTCTTAGGTAATAGAGATTTTTCTACCTCTGATTTGATACGTCTCAGTAAAAATGGTCTTAAAACCTGAAAAAAAAATTGAACAATACATCCAAATTAAAGTTGTAATGATAAAGATAGCTGTTCAATTATTTGGTTACAACTGGACTCGTTATCTTATTGTATTATTAGACTATATTTAGAATCAATATACATTATAAATTATGGTCATGATAGACAAAACACTATTGCATATAAAAACAAAAATAAGTTTATTTCAGTACACATAATTGGAAAACTTTGTACAGTCTGGGTGCATATAACACACTGGGTGGATTGCATGCAAGTAGAGAAATTACTGAAGATGGATAATATTATATGAACAAGTTACTTACTGCATGCAATCTTTCCACTAGTTCCTGATCTCCAAGACAATTGTTTGTATTAAACCAGGAATCAAAATCCTATAAAATAAATATAATTTTAAATTAAATATTTTCAAACATTTGTAATACTTTCAAATTTTTAGAAATGATAATTATCTGGGGTTTTATTAATTTCATAGATCTATTTCTACCACCAATCAAATTAAAATAATATCTTTATTTTGTTTGCTCTTTACGGTTTTGATTTTCTACACTATATATAAAATATATTCAGAATAGCTGGAGTTCAGCAGTTGAAGTTGACTGTTATCCAAGAGACTTCATAGTGAGAGTGAAATGAAAATTAATGTCCACTCAACACAAAATTGTTCAATTCAGGACTGACACAATGCATCTTTATTTCAGAGGGGTCTGTAAAAGTGGTACCCACAAAAAACTATTTGGTAGGTGACACTACTCCTGTCCTACAAGCGTGGGATCGAAACCCAAAGACTTGACTGAATAACAAACCATTCAGGCGTCCTAACCCCGGAAGGGATATGAGATTATAATGGAATACTTCAATGAAAACAAACTGAAAAACAACTGGTTTTAATTATATACTTACATCAGCAGAGTTAAATACATCAGGAAGTAAGAAATTTAACAATGCCCACAATTCGTGAAGGTTATTTTGTAATGGTGTACCAGTGAGTAATAGCCTGTTAGTTGACTTGAATTCTCTCACGATCTCAGATAACTAGAAAAAATATTGTTAGTTTTATTTCATGTTCTTAAATGGTTGTCTCCCCTGAAAAGGCTTCTCTTTAGATAATACAGACATCTATTACTTAATAACTATTATGGAAGATATTATTTGACATTTCATATTTGTTTTACAATGTCTCAAAAATTCTATTTGACTAAATTTAATAAAAAATCATGCTCAATTCAAATGTTCCACAACAATAGTCTGGTAAGATATGAATCCATTACAATTAGACAATCTACACATTGTTATGTTACATAAACCTGACATTAAGTTAAACTTACTTTTGATTTTTCATTTTTAATTCTGTGAGCTTCATCAATAACTAAATATCGCCAGTTAAACTTTTTAAAGACTGATTTTTCACGTATAACCATTTCATATGATGTAATACACACGTCCCATTCACCGGGTAAAAGCGTATCTCGAATTATTTCTGCCTGTAAAGATGAAATATGTTAAACAAAATGAAATTATACTTGTAGTCTTACAGGCGTTGAGTAGTCTAAGATAGGCACTAACTTTTCAACACCAATCTTATTAAGACTTTGCATACTTGTTCCAAGTGTGAAATAACCCGGAGGAAACATAACAATCTGACCGTTTGTTCTGTAATAATAGAGATGCATGCCGACAGAAATAAACTATGTAATGAGAAGGTTGTCCCGACCTAGATCAGCTCTTGAATAAATTATGACATACAGATCGGTCACATCATCCGCAGTAAACGATCTTGGCTGCCCCCCAGTAACAGTTTCAACCTGGACCATTCGCGGATCATTCAAAGAATTTATCGATTATAATATAAACCTCTTTTGGACATGCATTAGCTTTCTTTCTTCATGCCAAATTTGATGCAGGCAAAAATAAGAATATTACCATGCTTTTGGGCTAAGTTTGGAACATAGTCGGTAAATATAATTAGTATTTTTTGGATGATTAATATGTAGTTTATCACCCCAAATAACAAAAAATGACATATCTTATGAACAAAACTTAGAATGCTAGCTTTAAAATGTGCATTTTAGAGTACTCAATGCCCGTAACTGTTAAAAAAAGAAATTACATCTAAGGTACAGTCTTATGGATTTAACGATATGTGTATATTATTATTAAAACAAATTTCGTATAAGAGGCCCATCATAAATCTATGGCTACATCAAAACAACAAATTTCGTGACATAAAAAAGCCTTACCCTCTGTTCCTGAGATCCAATCATGCAGACTGTCCTCAAAGAAGGACACCATCTTTTAAATTCATTCACCCAGTTTGACAATGTTGATTTGGGACAGATGACTAAATGAGGAGATGGAATGCTACGATAATGTTTCATGTAACCAAGTAAAGATATTGTCTGCAAAGTCTTACCCAAACCCTATAAAGATAAAAAAAAAATAACATATTCATAAGACATCCTTTTTATCACTTTGTTCTGAAAGTAAGACTTTCATATTCCTGAAAAAGCTAGAGTAAATTTAAAGTCAATCGGATATTAAGGGGAGGCAAGGGTCGACAAATGTCAATTTTGACTCAAATTATCGATTTTTTATATTTGCATATTTGTGATGTTCATTCATTTTTATTTCACTTGTAATTAAAGAAAATACATATAAAGTGGTTTATGATAGAAAAAATGCACTTTTCAACACTCTTGCAATTCAAATTTTGCTGTTTTACCTCTTTATGTCTTAATTTCTCAAAAAGTAAAATATCAACAGTCGACAACCTTACAAAAAATCGTTCTTGAAAAGTTTACAACAGATATGTCTGAAACTTACACACATACTTAAGTAATGTTAGTTCCATGCAAATAAGGATTTTCAGTACCCTAAATGAATTTTTAGTGTAGTAAATTGGCATTTGAAATCTCTCATTGAAAACATTTTTCATAATTTTTGTTTTGTAGACATAGAATGACATGTAAGGACACAATAACAACACTATATTGATAACTGCACAGAGATAACACTATATTGATAACTGCACAGAGATATGTCCTAGGAACATTTTAAAAAAAGTTCCAGGCTTCTACCTTTGATACTTTCAGAGAACGAATTTTTTTAAGCAGTAAAAATGATTTTTTTTGTTTCCATGGTAACCAGTAAAGCAGATTCCCCCAAAACTGCTGATTAGCCTATTTTGTCGATGTGAACAATTCCTGAAAATTTCAAGTTGATAGCATTATTAGAAGCCAGTTATTTTAAAATTCATATTTGTCGAGCAGTGCCTCCTCTTAACTATAGCCTCTACAGCATCAACAAGATATTTGAAAGAGATCAAGGGCCATAATTTTAGCAGTAATTATTGGAAATTGTTGAAAATCATAAGACTTCTTCATCTCATGACTTAACACTGTGTATAAATTTAAGTCATTCGGATATTAACTTTAGCCTCTAGATGGCGATACGGAAACAAAATATTAATAATATATAAAGATGAAGCAAATTTAACACTTTATTTCAACCAAAATCAAAGAGCTGTAGCTCCTCAAGTTCTACGTTATATTGTCACCAAATAACCTACCATCTCATCTGCTAAAATACCATTTATACCATTTTCATATAATGATATCATCCAGTTTAATCCTCGAACCTGGTAATCTCTCATTTCACCACATTTAATATCTGTAAAATAAATATACTTTTATTATTATCGTTAAAATTTTTTATATAGCGCCATTTCCACAAAGATTGCTCAAAGGCTATGCATAAAATTTATTGGCAAGTTTAAACAAGCCAATAGTGAGGTTGACGCCCCCGTCGATATGTACGAAACTTCACAGACAACGCCAGCAGGTTCTAACCCATATGCCAGACACTAAGTTCTTTGTCATACTTATGTATCCATGAATGGATCGTGGCCAATTTTATCCTGTACGTGCTACTTTCGTCTTTTATTAGATGATAATATTTTAATTTACCGGGACATGGTACATGTACCTAAGCGAGATAGCGAACTTAGTCATGAATATCCAGACTTAATTACAAATTGTATTAGAAAATTATTAGTAGTATTGAACTGGAAGATACTGATTATATCACCTAGCAACCAACGTACCATGCAGCATGTTTAGATTTAACAGACATATTCCTAATGAAGGGGTTATACAATTTCTGTCTCCGAGATAATAAAAAAAGAAGGAAGTTCCTGTGAATGCGTGCAAAGAAAACAATGGAATTAAATCAGAACTGCTCGGTGAAATCGAAACCCAGTTGTCACCCGGAGTTCGCCACTCAAGACAGAAACAGTTTTCAACAATGGAATTTTAATAAAAAATCTAAGATTGTGTGAATCGCACTTCAGACTCTTGGAATGGGATTTTGGCTAATCAATAAAATATTTCTATCGTATTCCACAGATTCGATTTACTTTTTCCAATGTGATACCGCTTAAATTGAAACCTGGATGTAATGTAACTACACACAAAGTTTCACCACTCCCAAAGTCTCCACCGATCAAATTGCTTATAGCTCTGCTTACCCCGAGCCAAAAATACACATTATCGAACTTAGTCAAGGCATTGATATAATGAAATTATACACCAAGTTTTATCACTCTCGCTTAATTAGAACCACTTTTATCATGTCTCAAAGCATAAAGGATTGGGTGACATATATATTCCCATTCCTACACAAAATATGGTTTATCCAAATGTAGCTATCGTTATCTATTTCAACTGATTAGTATATTAAGGCTGGTAATTTACTGAAAATTTGTGGGATTGTTTTTGCCCAATAAAATCCTATTCAAACATTTTTTATTAACAATTTCTTACTCAAATACCACACAGTGAAAAAAACTGATTGCGACATTTTGATTAACATATTTGAAACATTATGTATACATACATTTAGGACTTTCATCAAATCTAGTAATAACAGCATGAGCTTTACGAGCATCAGATAATAATTCTTCATCTTCTTCTTCTTCTGTACGTCGATGACGATGACTACAATTATTGTTATTAAAAGATAAAACTTGTTAAGGAAGTGTAATATAAACAAGAATTGTGAAGTTAGCCTACAATTAAAAGCAATACTGAGTCATCAACATAATATTGACTGAGTGCTTTCCGAAAGAAGCTTAATAAATAAAAGAATATTTTGAGTTGTCACATCTGTTTGATGTAATATTCAATTTATGATATGCCGTAGGCCTACATATTAGTTTATAAATTCTAACAAATTCTTACTCTCCAGCTACCAAAAGTCTTGTCTTTTCATCCATTTTCTTTGCTTTTGGTCTTCCTGGTTTCATTTTCAGGGGAGAAGTGGGAGGTCCAGCTCCTTGCGCTTGCATCCCCCCCATTTGCATAAAATGGCCAAACAATTCTGTTTGTTGAAGTAAGAAATCAAATCTGTGGGTTCTGTCAGTTTCCTAAAGAAAAAAGTAAAAGGCATCTTACAAACTCTTGGCACATTTATTGTAATCAACATTGTCTTTAACATGGTACTAATTGAAAAGGCATTCCTACAGATTTTAGTTTGTTACATTTTTGTTATATTTTAAAGAGTCCTATATACTTCCTCTTGAGTTATAAATCTAAACAATACAGTGAAAATTTCCATAAAAATTCATAATTACTTTACAAAATTTGTCTTTTACCATTATTTGTACGTTTTTGTGAAAATAGCCCAAATACGGTAGTGATTTTCATTTTGCGATTTACGCCCAACCCTAGTTTTTGAAGTGAAATTATTGACGAGGGTGTTGACAGAAATAAACAGATACATTTCACTACATGCCTAGATTTTTCTATTGTAAAGTAGAGAATCCATAGACAGTATCAAGGTCAAATTTATGATTTCTAAGCTTAAATATCTTACAATTTTCTCTTCAAAGTCAGCATCTTGCTCTGGATTTTTAGGCTTGGGTGGTGTCTTTAACAGAACAGAAGGACCTTGTACAGGCTGAAAGCAAAAATATTGTGTTCATCAAAAATGCATTATCAACATTAGTTTTCAGATTATTGAATTCCGAACTGTCGACTAATATATAAGTAGTCGATAGGTCGGAATTCAGAATTCAATAAACTGAAGAATGATGTTGATCATGCATGACATATATATTATATATAGTTAGTCTACATCAGTGATTCTCAACCAGTGTGCCGCGGAATTGTGAAAGACACACTAAGAAAATGCAAAAAACCACATGATCCTAATGGAGTAATCGCTGATAAGTTCATAGATGTGCCGCAGAATTTTGAAAGGCACACTAAGAAAATGCGAAAAACCACACGACCCTAAATTCGCTGATAAGTTCATAGATGTGTTTTTCTTTATTTAGTTTAAAGACAATCTATGTTTCTATGACTAGTCTGTCTACGATTGCATTTGTATGTCATCTGACTTGTACCGCTATTTTTGTCATGTGTTTCAAGGTGTGCCATTGGCAAAAAAAGGTTGAGAACCACTGGTCTACATTTTGGTTTCTATCTGAAAAAGCGGGTTTTACAGCCATTCGACTCTTGACAATAGTAACATGGTAATTTCTGGACTAATTTATTATGGAAGAGGTTTTTATTTTAAACAATGTGTTTGGATTTATAAGAAGTTGGATTAAACAGACCAAGAGGTTAACCCAATGATCTATCTCTTGTGTCATGTACAAACAAAATATGGAATCCATGAGAACGGGTCTTATGTTTTAATACAGTACATGCATAGACCACCCAGTCACCCAATTCCACGACAGATGAGATCTATAATACAATATCTTTGCTATATAATTTTGATTTTTTGTTACCAACTCACGGTGTCCATACAATCATAACATGTTTACTTACTTAGTAGTCTTTGTATTGTAAATATGCTTGGAGTTGCAACCCCCACTACTCTTACATCACAAATCTGACAATTGTAGAGAGAGAGAAATGGGGGTTAACATCCACTGTTACAAACTAGGTCATTTTGAGAATAACATATGGTTCAAGTTTATTTCAATAATTTGCTGGCGCATAGGGGTCTTTAGCAGTGAGAGGAAACCGGAGAACCTAGAGAAAACCCACGAGGTTGGATGGGCAACCCTACTCCCTTTCTGACAACTGTACAATGTATATCAATGATCTAAGATAAATATTTCTTTTTTTTCTAATAAAACTGGGTCAACAAACTGAAGTTAGACATATCTTCTGTGATTTAAAGAGTATCGTAGGTAGGGCATACATGTACAGTTATTCTATTTAGACATTACCTTTCAGTCCAGTCAAGATTTTTTTGTTTTTATTACTATTTTTATTAGAATTAGGGTCATGTTTTTAACCGATCCTTTTTAGTACCGTAGTTTAGTAGCGGATCGTCACTATATAGCTGCAATTTGAATTACCAGCTCCTCCCTACGTTTGTTCTAACTTCTAAGGCTATTTTGGAATCCTTACCGACTATTTATTTTACACCGTGATTCTTCTTTGTTCGCCAAGGCAAAAGGAATCTTTTCTCGTCACTTCTGATCTGACACAAATTTAGAATAATTCAACACTATTTTCACGTAGAATTTTGCATTTCCAAAATAGCCTAAGAACAGAGGTGGGGAAGAGTGGTATTGTAATTGTCATATTGCAGCTATATTTCTAGGGACCGATAGGAACCGGAACGGTCACCAGAGAGCTTTCCTAACTAAAAGGAATTATTTTTTAGGTGAGTGTGCACTAGGGGAATTGTTGAAAATAAAAAATCATGTAGGCTAGTACAACCCCAAGATCAATGATATGTAGAATCGGACAGTCTAAGGCTATGAAACTGATGAAAGGCAAACAAACAGATCACAACTTTCAACTTTCAAGTCTCTTGTTTTTAGTTTTACTTGGAAATTAGAGTCAAGAGATAAAATTAAAATAGATTTGAAATCAGAATCAAAGAAATTTATACCCCTGGTGATTCTGCTTCCTGATCCATACTTTCAGCTTCTGAGTCAGACATTTTGTGAAGGTATAAATTGAAAAATACAAATTATAGATTCTTTGTGCTAATGTTCATTAGACATTCAGCAGATTGGCGCGGCGCGGTGTGCCGAAACCGGATATAGAGTTTGCGCATGCGTTTCCAATATTTATTTTTGTTTTTGCTTTTGACGAATAAATGCATTTTATTCAGGCTATAATAGCTATGATTTTATCAATTTCATACAACTCATTTGCAAATTTACGAAAATCCCCCTGAATGTAGGACTATTTGACCATTGACATTTTCTGGACAATGATCGATGTCAACGCGATCCGTAAAATTTATAATGTATGGAGTATTATGGCCGCAAAAAAGCTGTTACAACCCATTGATTGCATTAAAGGCGCATTAACTCAAATTCTAGCGGTAGTACTTGTGGGTTATGGACAAAAGGGCAAACATTTTTTATTAATTGCAACATTGAGATTAAAATGATTTAACCTTTATATAATTTATTATGAATATAAATTTAAGTAGTTAAGTCTCTAACTCATTATCATCTAAAGTCTTCGACATTGAAAACAAGAATTATTTGTCAATTTAAATCAACATTGATGTTGTGATCTTACCAGGAAAAGATGGGCTTCTGGTCCCAATTTAACAAAGCATTCTCAGACTTAACCATACATTACGCAAGAGCTAAATCTGCCAATTGAAGGTTTTTTTTTAGGCCTGAAGTGTTATCTAAATTATTAATTAGACATTAATTAACTTATCAAGACCATAATCAACTCTCGATGGCATCGCTAGCCTGCAATATTTACATGATTTGGGGGGGGGGGGGGTTAAGCAATATTTTTATTCAGATTTGTATCTGAATAGGGATTGGGGAACAGGCAAAGCCCATATTAAACTCCTCTCCCTGGATTAGAACCGGGTCTGCTGCTTCCTATTATATCAAAAAATGAATAATCAAGGCTATGTTTTTTTATCGTACCGACTTTAGTAATGATGATCGAGGCTAGGTCCAAAATTTAATTGCTAAATATTCAGTTCAGGGTGGATCAATTTGATTGAAATTTTCAACAAATTCCCTTTACATTATCTACTTTTTAACTATTATAGTGAGAACTACCAACTCTTTATGTAACTCCCATAATGTATCTCTAAGTTAAGAATTATTCAACTTCCAATCACTGTTTATCAGAAATATCTTTGATCCAGAAATATAAAACGTTGCATACAAAAAAGATAGGCATATGGTATACACGTCAGGTAGCGTTAGAAAATAATTGGTGGACAAGTTCTGCAATTTCTTCCTAAGAAATATACAAGAATGTCACACTACCAATGAAGAAATATTTATTTTAGTTTTGGCGGGTAGAGTATTCCATTTAAATTGTAGTAAATGTTTACAGAGGGCGCTTCATTCTTGACGTCGTACGTCAAATACGTTAATGAGAACATGTTTTGAGGTCAGACATACCCTGTCGAGATGAAAATATACAGGGTTATTTTGCAGATGATAAGAAATTAGACTGATAAATGGAGAGCTACCAATAAAAGGATACCGCCGGTTCCTTACTGTGGGCTTTGTAACCACCATCGAAACATCGAGGTATGGATGTTAATAGTTGGCGGTGTGGGCACGGACTGTGGTGCTTCGCTCAATCAAAATGGTGGACAAATATATTGTTTGTTGTCATCCTTCTCATTTCCTCAATGAAACAAGTTTGTTGTGATGATTATCATGTGTCTCGAAATGACCATGGTATCAGATACTATGAGGCTATAGTGAATGTATCATACAAAAGCAATGGAGAGGGACTAGGCCTATCTAAAATAATGGACGGTAGATATGGACCTTACGGTTTAGCAGATCCTGTAACCGGACAGGTTTTTCTTGTTCGTTCGAAGAATAATGAAACAAACGGGTGTACAGACTATGATATGAAAATTCCAACAGTTCAATGGATAGCTTTAATAAGGAGAGGAAAATGCTTATTTGGTGAAAAGATTAATAGAGCTGCAAAAAAGTACAATGCTTCAGCAGTTGTGATATATAATAATCAAAGTGAGAGGTCATCCCTCTTATTGATGCATCAACGTGAAGAAGGTAATCTGTGCATTAACACACAGACGCTTTATGCTTGTCACTGTTGTGATTTTATTATATGTGCCCGTTATATATATTTTAGTCAGTATATTACCAAAAATTCTTTAAAAAATCATAGTAAAGTACATGTAGATAACAAACCTCATCTCGAGCAACTTTTCGTGTTTCGAGATAAGAGATGATGCTATATTAATATAGTTAAACGTAGTAAAGCCCAACGCAAATCGCATTGGGCTCAGTAAGCAAAATTAACAATATTTTTCATCAAAACAAGGATTTCTGCCATATCCAACTACAATTTTAAGAATATAATTCTACCTGGAACATAAATCATTGTATTTAAAATGAGACGTTACTAGGAACGCCATTTTTAAATGTGAGATGTATGAGGGTGTATGTCAGATAAAAACAATGCTTCATTAATTTAAACGCGAATATCTGGAGTTAGGCGATAGTTGTGCCACTACATTGGCCCCTGTAAGTTTAATTAGTCATCATAGTATAAAATTATCTTTTGGTACAATTTACCCAAATCCTACAATATTTAAATTCATCATAAAACATCAGTATTACAACATTACCCTGTAACTTGATTTTTCGTAGTGCCTTAGTTGTCAATTTGGTTAAAATTATAGCCTTTCGATAACCATAGTGAAATGAAAATGAGATGAAATGGGGTTTAACGTCCTCCTGCTGTTGTGCTCCGACTGGGCTATTGAAGACAAACATAGTGTGCTATGAAGGAAATTTTGCCCGGACATCGGCACTATGGTCTACTATCGAATTCCAATTGCAAAGGGATTTTTCATGTGGTCTATACACACGACCTCAGTTTTTTGTAACCATCCAAATGACTAGACAACTGTCCTTGTCAGGCCCTCCATCCTTTTACCACTGACAAGGGAAACCGTGCCGGAAAATCCTGATGAACTTTCTCGGTCAATGCAGGGATCGAACACTTGAACTCCAGGCTAAACCATACATGTAGGTAGGGTGCCCCACGATAAATGAATATCTCCAAAAATTCTGACAATTATACCACAATATTTATAAGTTTATAACAAGCATTATCTTAGTTTCTCATATTTAGTCACTAAATAAACACATGTAATCTAAATGGAAACTTGCCATTGTATTGATCTGTATTAAAAATGGGACTGACCTTTTAGTGGCTACTGTTATTATTTGATCGATTTGAAATTCATATACAGTGTTTATGGTTATGTTATAAGATGAAGAAATCTGTTTAGGATTAGGAAGAACTAGAGGTCAATCGAATTTTAATTTTTGCTGATAATTACTTCATGGGTTGTTCGGTTGTTCCTCTTAGTCTTAATCATTTTATATTGCATTGTAAATGCTCCCATAATCTACAAAATAATCAATAAATGTGACAAGTTGTGGACTACTCAAGCTACTTACTGAGCTTCTGTGGGTGTATATTTTATTGCATGACAAACCTATCTTTTTTTATTATATTATACTGGAATTGTTGTTTTTATTCATCAAACACTGTGTGTGATATGGTTATATGTTCAATCTATTTAAACTTACATGTACTGTATCTGTGCCATCGTGCAACTTTAAAATGAGTGCAAACAAAATTATTAACATTCTTTCTATCATTGGTTATGAAATTGTGCAGTTAAATAGTATTTTCTCACCTTATGATATTCACGTTACATTTTAAATAGTCAATTTTTTTTTCATGTGGACGTATATTGTCAGCCATCTGTTCGTCTGTCCATCCGCCCACAATTTTTTTGTGGACACTCAACAGGTCACAATTTTATTTGATTTTGATGAAACTTGCAATGTAGGTTTATATCCCAAAGATCTCAGTTCCTTTCGATATTGGCATGTATCTGACTATCATGGATTATTATGGCCCCTGATTGTAGGTCAAAGTTAATATCCGATTGACTTTAAATTTATACACAGTGTTTAAGGTCATGGGATGAAGAAGCCTATTGATTTTCAGCGATTTCTAATTATTTCTTCCAGAGTTATGGCCCTTGATCACTTCAAAAAATCTTGTGGACGCTCTAGAGATCAAAGTTAATATCCGATTGATTTTAAATTTATACACAGTGTTTAAGGTTATGAGACCAAGAAGCCTATTGATCTTCAGCGATTTCCGATAATTACTGCCAGAGTTATGGCCCTTGATCGCTTCAAAAAATTTTGTGGGCACTCTAGAGGTCAAAGTTAATATCCGATTGACTTTAAATTTATACACAGTGTTTAAGGTCATGAGACGAAGAAGCCTATTGATTTTCAGCGATTTCCGATAACTACTTCCAGATTTATGGCCCTTGATCACTTCAAAAAATCTAGTGGACGCTCTAGAGGTCAAAGTTAATATCCGATTGACTTTAAATTTATACACAGTGTTTAAGGTCATGAGACGAAGAAGCCTATTGATTTTCAGCGATTTCCGATAATTACTGCCAGAGTTATGGCCCTTGATTACTTTGAAAAATCTTGTGGACACTCTAGAGGCTGAAGTTAATATAATATCCCATTGACTTTAAATTTATACACAGTGTTTAAGGTCATGAGACGAAGAAGCCTATTGATTTTCAGCAATTATCGATAATTACTGCCAGAGTTATGGCCCTTGATCACTTTGAAAAATCTTGTGGGCGCTCTAGAGGCCAAAGTTAATATCCGATTGACTTTAATTTAAATTTATACACAGTGTTTAAGGTTATCCGATTGACTTTAAATTCATACAGAGTGTTTGAGGTCATGAGACGAAGAATCATATTGATTTTCAACGATTTTCGATAATTACTGCCAAAGTTATTGCCCTTGATCACTTTGAAAAATTTTGTGACCCTCTAGAAGCTAAAGTTATCATCCGATTGACTTCAGATTCATACACAGAGTTTAAGGTCTTGAGACGAACAAGTATAATGATTTCAATGAATTTTTATGACTTGAACAGCTAAATCCATGTTATTAAAAGTTTCCTATAATAAACATTAGCATGGGGTAAAACTTTATAAAAACCAAACAAATTCTAATGGTTTTCTGATAATTACTTAATGAGTTGTTACTCTTAATCAGATTTTAATGTATTAGAAATGTTTCATTACCGAAAAAAGTAAAAATATGTGACAACTCTTGTTGACTGCCCGGACGATTTAGCTGCTGTGGGCGTATGTTTCGTTGCCTTGCAACCTATCTTTTTTCTTAGATTGTTCTCAGTCCATTTCTAGCAAAATGTGGGCATATCTTGCATGGCAGCCTATGGTTTTGATTTTTTGAAATATGGTAATATTCAAAGTGTCAGAATATGATAGAAAAAAATATTGATCAGTCTTTCAGCAGAGTAGAAAATTGAATACCTAATCGTTACTGACATACAAATATACGTACATTGTATGTAGAAGCCGTACTGGCCACATATCAAACCATTGTGATTTATAATCCAGTAAAAATACCCAAACTTGTTTAATTTTTACAGTAATTTACTCGCAGTTGCTCATAATATGTAATGCGATCTTACTTTGATACAGGACACTGTTTCCTTTGGCTAAACTTTTCATCGCTTTAACCCTGTTGTTGCTTTCGTTTTCGGTCAGTAGTGTCAATTTCAAAGTAATTAAGAAAATTGTGTTATTAACTTTATTAATTAACTAGGTTTTGTTAAATTCCTTAAAAATCAAGCTTTATTCTTAGCATTAATTAGTTTGAACCGCAAACTAGTTATTATGATGGATGATACCCTGTACAAAGAAATATTGCAATGATGCTTACTGTATATAAGGTTACATGTAGGTAGGTTTAAAAGGATATGTCACGATATCTTGACTTTTATAGTCTACAATGTAGATCAACATGAGGCTTTCATCATTGATTTATATCTTTGTGTACGCTCAGTGCCCAGTGCTAAATGCGATCAAAAAATAATCATAAATAAAAAACATATTTTTGTAAGGATTCAGTTTTTCAAAATCATGAAGCGTTTAAAAAAAAAATACAAATTCAGTGATTTCTTTCAAGTTGAAGTCAGCAATTACTATATGTGGCTTCTCTCAATGATAAATTAAAATTGTAAACTCCTTTTATTCAGGTTGTAGACAAACTAGTGTGTAATGTATATTATCCAATTGATTTGAAATTTATACACAATGTTTCAGGAGACAAAGAGGCCTATTAGTATTAGTATTGAACCTCAGCGATTTCCGATAATTACATTTAGAGTTATTACCGTTGCTCATTTTGAACCATCATCAGATTGGTATAAAACTTATACACAGATACAGTGTTTATGTTCATGATTAGGAAAGCTATTAGTTTCAAATGACTTTCGATAATTATTTTCAATTCAAAATCTTGAATTAAAATTTATGCACAGTACTTTTTGCATGGTGTGACATATTATGCCATCGCCCATGTCCGTCCGTCCACAGTTTGTTTGTGGACACTCTACAGGTCACAATTTTTATCGCGCATATCATATCATAACTTCCTGAATTATGACCCCTGATTGTACGAAAAATTGCCTTTTTAGCTTGTGGGACCAATTTTTATCTGATTTAAAAAAATGTTCAAATATATCACCTTTACACCATTTTGATGATTGAGTTCAAATTTCGTGAAAATCAAACCAACACTGCTGGACAAAATGGCCACTCTATGTATGCAAATTGAGTTAAAGTATATAATATCAAGGTTATGGACCCTCTAGAGGTCACAATTTTGATCTGATTTTGATGAAACTTAAAACATGTGTTTATGTCCCAAAGATCTTGATTCCTTTCGATATCCACGCATATCAGACCGTAAGTTCCTGAATTATGGCCCCTGATTGTACAAAAAATGTTGCGATTTTAGCTCATGGACCCTCTATAGGTCACAATTTTTATCCAATTTTAAAAATCGTTTAAATATATCACTGTTACAATACACCCTGATGAAGATTGATCCATGATTGAGTTAAAATTTCTTAAAAATCGGACAGAAACTGCCCGACAAAATGGTCCATCCATAAATGCAAATAGTGTAAAAGTATGTAATACAAGGTTGTGGAACCACTAGTGGTCACAATTTTTGTATGATTTTGATGAAACTTAAAATATATGTTTATATCCCAAAGATCTTGGTTCCTTTTTATATTAACGCATATCAGATTATGGCTCCTGATTGTTAAAAAAAACCCAGCTTGTGGATCCTCTAGAGGTCACAATTTTTACCCAATTTTAAAAAAATGTTTTAATGTATCAATGTTTCGAGTTGTTACAACCTAATGACAGTTGAGTTCAAATTTCGGGGAACTCAGAATGAAACTGTCCGACAAAATGGCCGCTCCTTGTACGCAAATAGTGTAAAAGTATGTAATACCATTTTGTGGATCCTCTAGAGGTCAGAATTTTTATCTGATTTTGATGAAACTTAAAATATATTTTTATATCCCAGAGATTTTGATTCCTTTTGATATTCGCGCACATCGGACCATAACTTCCAGAATTATGTCCATCTCTTGCAAAATGTTGGCGTATCTTGCATGGCAAACACTTGTCTCTTTATTTCAAAGAATAGAGTTGAATAGAATAGAGTCACCTCCTAAATCTACTGGCTTTTCTCCAGTTTTCCTTCCCCTCTCAGTATTTTGAAGCCATAAACAGTGAATAGTCCTTGTGAACTTGTATTTTATTTCTAAAGGGTACTACAGCATTGTGATTGTTATTCTCGACTTTACTGAAAGGATTGGTAGGCCTATAAATTGATAGTGTAGTGGGTATTATGTCAGTGTCACAGATGATTTTATGAAAATGTTACGATTTTATGATAATAGATTTTGAACAACATGTAATTGTATACCATATAAACATGCAGGTAAAATTCATAGCTTATGTAAATAAAGTATATGAATACTTTCCACATTTGTCATACGGTATAATGTATTCATACTATGAAAAGTTTGACACACTGAATAATCTTTTTAGAAATATACTCTTCAAAAAAAGAAACTCATAGTATCTTGCTCTACCATTGCCTTGTAAGCAACAGGAACCGTGATTTGTCGCTGAACCAGATTGTTCTCCAGCGTTGCTGTGGCCATAACCTGTATGTCTGAACCCATTAAAGTCGGATTTGACAGTGTCACCTTATTTCAAAACAGCAGCTCTAATGGGACGTCTAACTCGAAATCGGGTTTCCCGTAGGTGTTTAAGAACTGTCTGATCTGAGATCCTGCGCCGTATAGGAATTCCTGCTGCAGTAGAGGTCGCTGTTATGAACCGTTTCCACAAATGACATAACGTGATGTGACGATCCAGGGCAGGTGAGGTCACTCTTGTTTGGCTTGAACTTGGGTGGTCACGTGTTGAACTTCACTGTCGTTACCTATCCCAAAAGCGAGAGATGGTACTCTGGAAAACGTTCAGCAGCCTGGCTACATCTGTCTCGGATTCACCTGCTTGTAAACGACCTTGTTGAGTGTTTACATGTGCAACTGATTTTGAAACCGAGAACCACAGGATTTTGAAGGCCTCAGATTTAGGTTTAATGTGAAAAGCTTTAATGTGTCTTGAAGCAAACGAAAACTAATTTCGCCAAAAAGTATGACCAGTCACAATTAGTGACCCTATATGTATATAAAAAACCAATAATGAATTTCTTTAGTTTTATCCTTACATAATGACATTAAAAACAAGTAAGATTTATGGAAACAATGATTCTGTTCAAATGATGAAAAATGGGCTATGCGTTTCTTTTTTTTGAAGAGTATATATATACACATATCTTTTTGAGTAATTTAGTACAATAACCACCAAAAACCCAATGTGTTCTTTTGACAATAAATCATTATGGTGAGGTAGGGGGCTAGAAATGCTTTTCACATTTGTCATACGGTATAATGTATTCATTACTATAAAAAGTTTATTTATGGTTATAGCAAATTTGACACACTCATTGAATAATCTTTTTAGCAATATAAACCTTTTTGAATAATTTAGTACAATAACCACCAAAAACCCAAGGTGTTCTTCGGACAATAAATCATTATGCCATAAGTTAAATCACGGTGTCGTAGGGGGCGAGAAGTCTTATTCAAAATAAGAAAGACTAGGCTTATTATATCCTTGACTATTGACCAATATTTTCTAGAAATATATCTACATGTACTGATCTTCACTATCTCAAAGTATTATGACATTTATCTGATAGCAGACTTTCCAGTATGCTGAAAATATAATCTGAATGTAGCAGTTTGACATCCTACATTGCTGTACTGATCTATAAATAAACTAGCTAGCTCAGTGTATACCTAGGTACATGTTTTCTAACAAACCATCCAATTAGCCACACATGGGACATAATTCTATGGAATACAATTACATGTACACTGTAATGTTTTAAACTGAGCACATTTTGACAAGAATTCTCTGGTCTTTATCAAGCAACCATACAATTATAGGTACAAATGTTAGTCAGAGACATGCCACTAATAACCTTGAAGAAGACTTAGTTTTGTTCGTTCACTATAGGAAATGAAACGGTTGAACCTATAATAACTGTTTGATGATAAATATATTGGTGCTATTTATCTTGTATTTGGTGCAGTACATAATGTTGAAACTGACAATGATTATTGTGTTATTAATATTATTGTTGTTATGAAGAGTAATATATTAACATGAAAAGACACATTTTGGAACATACCATATTTTTCTAGACAGACCCATCACTTTCAAGAGAAAAAAAAATTGCTGTTAAATTCTTATCTCAAAAAGTATGAGACACTTGTGCAATACCAGGTACCGTAACTAAGCTAGTTAATGTAAAAATATTAGCCATGCCGCTCTAGTGGTGACTTGATCCTTCAAAACAAAAATTTGATGCCACTGCCAGGCATCACATTCGCAGTACTCGAGTCAAGGATGATATAATAATATGTTGTATTATATAGTAGTAGGTAAAGTTAACACAATGAAATGAAATAGGGTTTAACGTTCTATTCTGAACCGTACTGTTCTGCTCCGACTGGACTAACACAGTGAAGATGCCGTGGTTCAATTGCCAAACTAAATTGGGGTAGTTAAACTACCAATTGACAAATTGGAAAGGATCAACACAAGACTAACAGTTAATTTTGACGCTTAAAATAAACCAAAAATTGAACAATTTATTATTAAAAACATCACTATTTTCTAGCTTGAAAGATCTAAGAGGATTGATGTTGTCACAAATGCATAAATTTAACTTTATTAAAAACTGGTTCCAGTACCTGTGGGCATGTAGCTGTCAAAATTATCTTAAATCATCTCCTTTAATAAAACTGAAAGATATTAACATTAGTCATTATATTGATATTGTTATTTTTTAGATCGAGACGTTATCTCTGTTGCTATAGATATGAACGATGGTGAATCAATAGTAAAATGGTTGGAAACTGGTACTGTTCACATGACAATCAATTTAGGGGAGGCGAAATTAGTTGCAGGGACCCCAGTACAGAGCAACATCAGTAAAACGTCTGTCTTATTTGTGTCAATATCGTTTATAGTTCTGATGATTATATCACTAGCATGGCTAGTTTTCTACTATATTCAACGATTTAGATATGCACATGCTAAAGAACGACTTGCAGTAAGTATCAAGCTACTTAAGTAATTATACCTGATTGATTTGGGTGAAAAAATAAGAGTGTGGATTTAATTAAGTTTGATGGGTTGATTGCTTTGTGATGTATGTATGTCTGGCTCTAGTTCGAGTCATGCCAAGAATCACCTCATTTTGTTATGCTATTGACGTCCAAAATAAAAATAGAATTAATAAACAAACTGACTTTTTAAAGAAAATTTAATTGTATAGATTTTATTCCATCATTGATCGAAGTAACTCATCAGATATACCACATTCAACACTTTACTTTCACTTAAATCAAAGCGGGTTAGATTTAGCACTTTTAATTCTTAATCTTTGTTATTATTGTTCAAGAGTTCAAATTATCTCTTCAGGGAACATCTTCAGCATAATGTTGAAATTCTGATATACATTGCACAAGTAATTGATTTTAAATGTCATTTTAACTTCTGTGTCATATTATCAGTTTTACTTGAGTAGGCTACATATAGACTAGAAGCTAACATAACCTATTTCTTACAGATATATCAACATTTCTTTTTCAGAGGAGATTAGCCAGTGCTGCTAAGAAAGCCATTGCTAAAATCCCACAGCGTAACATTAAATCTGGAGATAAGGTAAATTACATGTTGTCATTTATTGAATGTGAACATCCTAAATACATGTAAAAACACTAGGCTAGCGGTCAAGGTTTCAAAGGAGATTAAATGGCAAGATACCTCTACCCGAGATAGAACAAAACATTTTGGATATTTTCTTATAAGAGTCACACCACCAGCACCCAAAACTGGATCTTATTAATTCAACGTTTTTCCGAAGAATGGCAGCATTCAGTCTTGCCAACCATATGATGAAGCGAAATTCCATGTAAATGCCAATGGTACATTTTACTTCTTTTGCTTGACATAATCTGAGCACAATACAGGTTTATATTTCTTGGAAGTTGAATTTTCCGCCAGTTGCAATCTACGATAGGCTGATTGCTAATTACAAGCCTGTTTGTTGTCAGCGGATGTCCGCCGCCATTTTAACATTGTTTTCGCAAAATCTAAATGATGGTTCTGTTTTAAAACACATTAGCGTGGATTAGGCAATGTGAAATTTTATATTTCCCGAAAAATGCAAACCAAGCATGTTACTTTAGAAAAGAAATAACTTTGTAATTATTACGGAATATATTCAACTCTGCTTTCAATCACAGAATAAATATAATATCAACACACATGAAATACAAAGTATGCCTACACATGTGTTTGTGCAACCATATAATATAACAAGCGTACTGCAAAGCCCTATATATGGGCTATGACGTCATCTTGGCATTGTGACATCATATCAAAACTAGAAATCCGTCAATCAAGGCGCAGTTGTCCAATGAACCACCATGCCAAGTTTTATTTCAAACGTACATGAATTGACAGACCCTTGGGCTCTTTTCGCAAAGCGCCATCCCCACATACAACAAAAACAAGATCATCAGAGCTAAGGGTCCAATTCCTGGTCCAAAAATGATATGGTGTAGGCAATTTGGGTTTGGGGTTTTTTTTTATTCAATCACACAGTGTGCTGGAGAAAAACACAAAATATAGCTTATCTGATACTTCCTAATCATTAAATAGTTATATTTTATGCATACAGTCAAAATCTATGATTTTTTACGGTTGCCATGGAAACCATGAGAAATAACTATTATATCCCATTTTGAAAATTGTCCAAGAACTGATAACATAATGTTAATAAAATTACCTTTCCAACCATACCAAATAACCTTTGTTCCACCACAGGTAGGGGTATGGAAAAATATGGACTTAAACCACTAGCCCCTGCTGCAACTGAATATTGCTTAGAATTGACATTAAAGAGACATCACTCTCTTGCCAATAGAACAAAATATAATCAATATTATATCATGCTCAAAATAAACTGAGACATGCCTAATTATCAAGAATACATTTACTGACCTGCATGTACTAGGGCTATGCCTGGAAAACTATTAAAACATGTGTAACCTGTAAATTAAAATGTCTTAGCACGTCTAGGACAGCTGCCCCCTAATTATTGTTTTAATGAATATTTTCTTGTGAAATAAAATCAAAGTTTTTTTAGGGAGTGGTGGGGGCATTTAGGGTAAAATAAAATGTATTTCCTGGAGGCAATTGTCCTGCTCCCATCTCAGCAGTTATATGACTTTTATTTATACTTGTAAAATATGTTGAAGTTAAAAGTCTGAATATACACAATATTCTCTAGATATAAATATAAATGAACATTTAGCTGTATAACATTATGTGACAACTAAAATCGATAATCTTGTCTTCTTTATAAATAATTAATGACATTGTAAGTTCATCTCTTATCATCACTACATTAGAGTAACAGAGAAGGACCTTTGCTACTCTTGAGTTTGAATTGGGGAGGGGCTGGTAGAGTGACCTGACACATGTGCTGTAGATCACAAGGCCTGTCATCTATGAAATCAAGTGTTACCGGTAGATCCTATGGTTGAACATGGCAGTGAGACCTCCTCTTAGGTTTTCTCTGGGACTCTGGGTACTCTGGATACCTCTCACTTCAAAGGGCCTTTTGACCCCCTACATGCAAGCTGACATTAAATAAATATATAATATATTATAATGTTAGACAAAAATGACTTAAATAAATATATGATATATTATAATGTTAGACCCAAAATGACTTAGTATTTGCCAGTTGCCACTTAAGAATGTTTTGTTCTGACGTACATGTTTTGTTCTGACGTACATCAATCTCTATTACATGTATAAGCCTAGACCTATTATTACATACAACTTGATATGACTTAGAGAGACACAATGTTTTAAATTACTTTAGATTTAAATCTGATTATTTATATTGGATTTCTAACAATTTTTTTATAAATATAGAATAAACTACGAACATCATTTCAGTTATTACAAAGATGAATGCATTCTATCCACGTTTTGATTATTTAAAATGATACATTTCACAATTTAAACCTTTGTTTCTGGATAGAATTATTCTGTTCCCCAATCCCATTCAGATATCTTGACAGCTGATTCATCTTGATTGTACTTGAAATTTAATGTTTTTATGTATTTCAGGAATTAGAAAATGATTTTGATCAATGTGCCATTTGTATCGAAGGATATAAAGCTCATGATGTCATACGATCACTTCCGTGCAAGTGAGTATTTTTGCTTAAAGTTGTTCTCTTTTCATGATATCTGCAGAATAAAGATCAATTAAAATGGTGAGAATTCAGAGAAAATAACTTTCTGCCAAAAAATTTGATTTTCTGGGATTTTGATCTGTTGGTTCAGTGATAAAAAGAGAGAGAGAGAAATGGGGTTTTAACGTCCACTCGACACAAACTAGGTCATTTCGGTACTAATATATAGTCCAATTTTATTTCAATAATTTGCTTCGTGTAGGCATCTTTAGCAATGGGAGGAAATCGGAAGACTCAGAGAAAACCCACGAGGTTGGACAGGCGAGCCTACTCCTTGTTACGTACAGCCAGGGAATCAAAACCACGCCAGTTGCCTCGATGACAGAGTTTATAATGCAGCGTGCACAAGCCGGCCATACAACCCCCCTTTAGTGATAAAAGATGGTCAAAAAGCCTTGGGCATTTTTACATGTTTTTAAAAATTCTTCTTCAAATCCTCTTCTTGCCTAGAACCCTAATATCATTATGAACATTTAGGAGTTTATAGATAACCTAAAGATAACCAGGAGGGTGGAATGGATTATTATATAGATTTAGATAAAGAACTGTCCATTCTTGCTATAAAAGTTCCAAGATAGATAATGAAAATGAATATCATTCAAAATTAAAATCAAATTCTTTACTCTCAGCAAGTTATGACTTTTTATACGCCCACATTGAAATGTGGTTGTATATTGTTGTCACCCCGTCCGTCCGTCTGTCTGTCCGTTCTATAGGCTAAAGTTAATATCCGATTGACTTTAAATTTATACACAGTGTCTAAGGTCATGAGACGAAGAAGCCTATTGATTTTCAGCGATTTTCGATAATTATTGCCAGAGTTATGGCCCTTGATCACTTCAAAAAATCTTGAGGACGCTCTAGAGGTCAAAGTTAATATCCGATTGACTTTAGATTTATACACAGTGTTAAAGGTCATGAGACGAAGAATCCTATTGAATACCAAGATTTTCGATAATTACTCCCAAGAGTTATGGCCCTTGATCACTTCAAAAAATCTTGTGGATGCTCTAGAGGTCAAAGTTATTATCCGATTGACTTTAAATTTATACACAGTGTTTAAGAAATGAAATGAAATGAAATGGGGTTTAACGTCCTACTGTTCTGCTCCTATACTGGGCTGATGAAGACGGGCATACGCCATACAGTGTGCTATGAGGGAAATTTTGTCCGGGCAGCGGCACTATCGCCTACTCTTATATTGAATTCCAACTGCCAAGGGATCTTTTACGTGCATTCCAATGTATACACGGGACTTCGGTTTTTCGTCTCATCCGAAGGACTAGACAGCTGTCCTTGTCAGGCCCTCCGTTCTGCACCGCTGACAAGGGGAAACCACGTCGGAAAATCCGGATGAACTTTCTCGGCCAATGCAGGGATCGAACACCCGACCCTCAGGCTAGCGAGCCAGCGACAGTGTTTAAGGTCATGAGACGAAGAAGCCTATTGATTTTCAGCGATTTCTGATAATTACTGCCTGAGTTATGGCCCTTGATCACTTTGAAAAATCTTGTGGACGCTCTAGAGGCTAAAGTTAATATTTGATTGACTTTAAATTTATACACAGTGTTTAAGTTCATGAGACGAAGAAGCCTATTCATTTTCAGTGATTTCTGATAATAACTGCCAGAGTTATGGCCCTTGATCACTTTGAAAAATCTTGTGAACACTCTAGAGGCTAAAGTTAATATAATATCCCATTGACTTTAAATTTATACACAGTGTTTAAGGTCATGAGACAAAGAAGCCTATTGATTTTCAGGGATTTCCGATATAGCTGCTGTGGGCGTATGTTATGTTGCCTGGCAACCTATCTTTATCCGATTTTGTTGAAACTTGAAATGTAAGTTTATAACCAAAAGATCTTGGTTCCTTTCGATAGTTGCGCATATTGGACCGTAACTTCCTGAATTATGGTCACTGATTTTACGAAAAATGACGTTTTTAGTTTATGGACCCTATAGAGGTCAAAAAACGTTTGAATATATCACCGTTACAACCTAAGGATGATTGAGTTCGAATTTCGTAAAAATCGGGCCAAAACTGACAGACAAAATAGCCGCCCCTCGTACTCAAATAGCATAAAAAATATGATATATCAAGGTTGTGGACTCTCTAGAGTTCACAATTTTCTTCTGATTTTGATGAAACTTGAAATGTAAGTTTATAACCCAAAGATCTTGGCTCCTTTCGATATTCGCACATATCAGATCGTAACTTCGTGAATTATGGCCCTTGATTGTACGAAAAATCGCGTTTTTAGCTTGTGATCCCTCCAGAGGTCACAATTATTATCCGATTTAAAAAAAAGTTTGAATATATCACCGTTACACCGTAATTTTGATTGAGTTCAGATTTTAAAAACTCTTTAAATATATCACCATTCCACCATAATGAATGTTGAATTCGAATTTCGAGAAAATCATAATGAAACTGTCCGACAAAATGTCTGATCTTTGTACGCAAATTGTTTAAAAGTAGGCAATATGAATGTTATGGACCCTCTAGAGGTTACAATTTTTATCCGATTTTGATGAAACTTAAAACATATCTTTATATTCCAAAGATCTGTCCCTTTTGATATTTGCGCATTTCAGACCATAACTTTCTGGATTATTGCCCCTGATTGTACAAAAAATCCTGTTTGTTTTTAGCTTGTTCTCTATCCATCTCTTGCAAAATGTGGGCGTATGTTGCCTGGCAGCCGCTGGTCAATTGTTACTGTCAGTTATTGTCCTTGATGAATTTGAAAGATCTTGTTGACTGCTTGAACAACTTAGACATGGTGGGCATGTTTTGTTGCCTTGCAAATTATCTTTTTGTGTAATCGTAGTTATCAAATATTTTTAAATTCAGAATTACAAGATTAAAGTGTATCTCTTAAATAAACAAGATGAAATATTATCCAGTTATAAAAAAGGTTTCGTTTCATTTGGATATCAGTATATTTGTCAATTTTATTTTTCAGACATGTTTTTCACAAGTCATGTGTTGATCCATGGTTATTAGAACAAAGAAGTTGTCCCATGTGTAAATTAGATATACTGAGAGCATATGGAATGCAGGTTAGTATCAATTTTGAAATAAACACACAAGATGTAATGTTAGAGTGGATTGCAGAATCAAATTTTCTTTCATACTTTAAAGCTACAAACCAGGCCCTTTATATCATATTTTTGGGGATCTCGTGGTTAAGTGGGTAAGACGCTGGCACGCTAGCCTGGAGGTCTGGTGTTCGATCCCTGCATAGGCCGAGAAAGTTCATCCAGATTTTCCGGCTTGGTTCCCCCTTGTCAGTGATGCAGGATGGAAGGCCTGACAAGGACAGCTGTCTAGTCCTTCGGATGAGACGAAAAGCCAAGGTCCTGTGTATACATTGGAATGCACGTAAAAGATCCCTTGACAGTTGGAATTCGATATAAGAGTAGGCGAAAATGCCGCTGCCCGGGCAAAATTTACCTCATAGCACACTGTATGGCGTATGCCCGTCTTCATTAGCCCAGCATAGGAGCAGAACCTTAGGACGTTAAACCCCATTTCATTTCATTTATATCATATTTTGTATTTATATTCATTTCAATCATGTATCCGCAAAAAATCAAGTGCCTCTTATATCCGGTTTATTGCTGCATCATTATTAACAATATTGCTACTTTAATATATATTGAAATGTACAAATAACACCTGAAAACTTTAATATTGCACATTAAAGATCCAAGGTATAAGTAAATTTTATTAAATAACAGAAAGAATAAAGGGAAAAGGTTGTTTATGCTGAAGTTTTGTTATGTACCAATGGGTTTTTCTGGTTCTAAATGATGTAGAATTTTCAAACGTGGTGTAGATAGTGAATATCTTTGACAATTTGTATTTATGTTCAACAATTTCCAATAGTTACGATCAGAGTTTTAGCCTGTGATCAATTTGAAAAATTTATGAGACGAAGACCCTATTAATTTCCATCCATCCCCTGGATCAATTTGAAACATTTTGAGACTGCTCTAGAGGCAAATTGTCATCTGATTGAGTTGAAATTTATACGCAGTATTTATGATCATGAGATAAAAGAGCATATTTTTTTTCTACCATTTCCTGTAATGAGTTGGAGTTAGACCCTATATCAATTGGAAAAATCTTGTGACTGCTCTACAGATTAAACTTATTGTCCGATTGATCTGAAGAAACCTGAACCCAATCAAATTTTAATTATTTCTGATAATTACTTCATGGGTTGTTACTCTTGATCAGATTTTAGTGTCTTGTGAATTCCCCATTACAAAAAAAATATATATGCAACAACATAGATGCTGTTGGTGTACATTTTGTTGCATTGCAACCTATCTTTTTTACATTATTAAAAGTTCTTATTGGTAATTGTTTAGGTGGGAGGAAGCGAAGATTGTGTACATCAAGATGGAGAAAGTGGTGCTGTTTCTGTGCCAGCAGAAGAAGTTGAGCAGACATCTATTGCAGAAGAACAAGGAGCAGAAGGTCAAGTCAAAGTTTTACTTCTGCCACACAACTGCATTCATTTTCATCATGAAGGAGAGTCTAGTCTTGACTCCCAAACGGAGGATGAACTTGTTGGCGCAGAGCATGTCAGTGATTTTGAATTTACCGAAACTCAGTATCTAATGGAGGATAATATTGATAGTGAAAGATTAACTAAACTTCCAGTTTCGACAGCCTAGCGTTGTTAGAAAGTCAGAGGAGAGTTGAGTGGCTTACAGGCATTGTTGTGATAATGTGTTAGTTTGATATCAATTCTTGAACAAATAGAAATTTTATTTTGAATGTGGAATAATCCTTAAGGGGAAGAACCCTCAGCTTTAGTCAGCATTACGAAAAACACACAAAATATTCAACAACGTAATAACTGTGTTCAAATTCCTTGAGTATATATCTTAGGAATGAATGTATTTAGTTAATTCCAGACACCCCCTGAGCTCCAGATGATGAATTGATATACTCGCTGCCAAAAGTATTGGAAATGCTACTGTGTTTGTTAAAAAAAACATTGAATGACGTTTCTCAACGAACACCTACAGAACGAGTGTTGGAGATGTTATAAAGAAATTACCAAAGTTTATCATTTTTGTAGTGTAGTGCATGCACTATGAGAATTTATTCATGGCATTAGTTTTCATCTAGATAAAAAGTGTAGCTTAAACACCATTACAATAAAATATATCACCAAATAGAAAATAAATGTAGAAAAATAATCCAAAAAAATCTATATTTATTTATTATTGTTATTGTCAGTTATATGCTTTCTGTTATATTTTGTGCTTCTTTATTTTTTTAATTACTATAATAGCCCATGCGGTCATTGGACCAGAGGGCTTATGCTGTCAATTTAGTCTCCAGCATAGACACATCATATTTTTGACCTCCGCAGAACTGATGCGATTTTTCCGCTTTTATTTTTGCTGTAAGTAGTTTATGTCATAGAATAGGAATTGTTTTCTTATTTCCAAAAGTCTGTTCTATTCTGTTTCCAAGATTGTAAACATCAGGGGGTTTTTCTTCTCGTAAATACTATCAAATAATATGGTATGATAATTCTCAAGTAGAAGACTCAAGTGCAACATCTTTTAATGAGGTATAATAATTTACTATTTATTTATATTCAAATTTGAATTGTGACAAACCCTATTTTCTTTAGTCAAAAATAGCACCTCAAATTTTAAATTGTCAACTGCATACTTATATTCTTATTGTGCTTTATACCGTAATGTCTGGTGAATATGGCCCTTGGGGCTCTTGTTTCCTTGTTATTGACTGTCTTTTTTGCCAATTAAATTGAACAAACCACCGGTTTTTGTTCGTAATTTACAAGAGGAGATAGAAAGATATGTTTTTTATTTATTATTGAAAACAAACAAAAGTGCTCAATTGAACTATAGTGTAAAGATGTATAAAATGGAAGTTAAAATATAATGTTGTTTTTTTTTTTCCAAGTCATTATTTGTTGATATAGTTCTCCCTGTGGCCTAACCGAGGCTTGTCTCTTATTGTATAATGGCTTACATATATGTTGTATATTATATAATTATCATCATGTTATTATTGATATTTATTTGTGCCGAGGAACACTTACATTACTCTATTGTTCAATTCCATGCAAGTATAAAACTGAATTCCCCTCATCATTTTTTTCTCCGTTTCAATTGATTTCTTTAAAGGGTCTCAACTATCTTGTCAATAATCTTAAAATAACTTAAAAATAATTTTTTAAAGATATAGTTTATTACCTGAGATTTTGTATAGGCACACCATCAGTGTTGTTGATGTGGACACACATACTCTATTCAAGATATTTTGTTTTTCTTGTCACTTGAATATAAAACATTAATTGAATGTATGCATGAAATTAATGCTTTGGCATCTGTAATTGTGCAATATCCAAGGTAGCTTTAATTACGTAACGGCTCCAGTTCTATCCCTGTGGGAGTGAAAAATTTGCAAATTTAATTTCATGATATATCCACAATATTTTATAATCTACAATTGCTTGTAATTAAGTACATTTAGATTATGACAGATTTTATTTTCTGTGTTCATGTACATACAAATATTTCACTAAATTCATATTTATTTATTTATTTATTTCTACCCCTTATTTTTTAAAGTGTACAATGTACTTGATGAGTCTCTTCGCGTAAAATTATAGCTTTCAGTCTAACACTATGGTCAAAACACAAATTATTTGTAATTTAAGAGAGTGTAATTTCTGGTTAATGAAAGCTATTTATGGATCCTGTGGTGATTTTTATCTGTCTATGCCTGCATACTATGCACTTTTTGGGCAAATTAAAAATAAATTATTTGACAGCTTAATTCAGATATTATAAATTTGAAGAGTATCTTCTCTCTAAAAGATGGTTTTACAGTAATATACCAGCAGTTGCCAGGCAAGATACGCCCACATTTTGCAAGAGATGGATAGAGAACAAGCTAAAAACAAAAGCATTTTTTCGTACAATCAGGGGCTGTAATCCAGAAAGTTATGGTCTGAAATGCGCAAATATCGAGAGGGACTGAGATTTTTGAGATATAAAATATATTTTAATTTTGAAGAGCATGAGACGAAGGAGCCTATTGATTTTCAATGATTTCCAATACTTACTGCCAGAGTTATGGCCCTTGATCACTTTGACACTGTAGGGGCTAAAGTTAATATCCAACTGACTTTAAATTAATACACAGTGTTGAAGGAAATGGGACGAAGAAGCCTATTGATTTTCAGCGATTTCCGATAGTTACTGCCAGAGTTATGGCCCTTGATCTCTTTGAAATATCTTGTTGACGCTGTAGAGGCTATAGTTAATATCCAATTGACTTTAGATTGATACAGACTGTTTAATGTCATGAGACGAAGAATCCTATTGATTTTCAACTATTTTCAATAATTACTGCCAAAGTTATAACACTTGACCTCTTTGAAAAATCTTGCAGAAACTCTTGAGGCTAAAGTTAATATCTGATAGACTTTAAACTTATACACCGTGTTTAAGGTCATGAGACAAAGAATCCTATTCATTTTCAATGATTTCCGATAATTACTGCCAGAGTTAAGGTCCTTGATCACTTTGAAAGTCTTGTGAACACTCTAGAGGCTAAAACTCCATTTCATTCATTCATTCACTCTAAGAGGCTAAACTTAATATAAATTGTTTAAGGTCATGAGACAAACAATCGAAACAAATTCCAATGTTTTCTGATAATTACTTCATGGGTTATTCAGATTTTCATGTGTTATAAATGTTCTCATGACTGACAAAATAAAAAATATGCGACAACATTTGTTGACTGTCTGGACGACTTAGCTGTTGTGGGCGTATGTTTCATTGCCAGGCAATCGATCTTATATTTTTCTTGAAGTTTGAGATTTAATTAATGTGAAATTAATGTATTTATAGTAAGGTTGAAATACTGTCAAGTAAAATGCAAAACAAATATCCCTCTGTGAAAAAAAAACACATCTACTGTCAGTAAAGGTAAAATATTAGTTCTGAATTTGGGTCAGTTTATTTTCATTATTGGAGGGATTGTTTTTGGGTTTTTTATTTCCAATGCATGGATTTCAATGGTATAGGATAAGGGATATAGTTTTGTTGAATCTTCCTCAAATGAAAAATGTTTTGTACAATATTCTTTGGCTATTCCTTATATTTTACAACACAGTTTGTGCCATGATCATATATTTTCTAAGATAACTGTAGTGTTAATCATAAGACAGATTTTTTTTTTTTTTTTTTTTAGGGCATTTGCTTTCATTTGCCGAAATTGAAAGTGTTATTTATTGTTTTCTATGCTGCCTGTTGTCCACAATTCAGATTTTATTATTACTGCATGTAGATTTATTCCCCTTGATACATTTACAAATTTGAAGGATTTTGGGGAACTTCACCAAGAACAAAACTTTGATAGCTCTGTGTTTTATAGAAATTCTTTGACTGGCAGATACAGTTGTATAATATATCTTTTAGATATTTCTTTGAACTCTTATCTTTCTTCTTATTTCTTAGAATTTGCTACTCTTATGATAAAATATTCAATCATGTCTAAATTATTGATTTAAGATTAAATTCTTTTTTCACTTTAATATCTTATGTATGTTTGGATTGAAACGTTAATATATTGATGAGGAACTGCCTTTAAGAAGTTTTAACAATATATCCCTTAAATGTAATTAAATGATGAAGATATGGATGTATGTTATATGGAAGATGATAAATCATATGTATTAAATTTGTTATTTGTGGAAAATGGTATTAATTTTATTTCTTTGACTTAAATAGACATCCAGTATTATAGTTTCCCAACAAAATGTGGCAAAAACAATGCATGGACACAGTTCATTGTGCTGCAACCCTATACTTAGCCTTGAAAACAAAAAATGTCCGAATGAGTATACAAATGGTTGTAATGAAAGCTACACCCACATTTTGCAAGACGCTTCAGTATTGCATTCATAACTTCGAATGTAAGTGGGCAGATAACTCTGGAATTGGTTTTGAAATATTTTGGATTTCGATGACTCAAAAGTTATCATCCGATTGTTTTAAAATTGGTATATGTTGTTTATATTAGTGAGATGAAGAAACCTATTCAATTTCTGTAAATTACTTCTACAGTTATGTCCCTTGTTTCACTTTGTTGTACCTTGTGAACGCTTTAACATCAAAAGTTATCTGCCGATCTGTATGAAATTTATATGAGTCATATAAATTAGTAAAAAGGAGAATCCTTTTGAATTTCAGCAATTTCCGTTAATTACAATAGAGTTATGGCCCTTGTTTCACTTTGTTGAACCTTGTGAATGCATTAACGCCAAAAATAATCATCTGATCTTTAAGAAATTTATATGCATTATTTAAAATATTGAATTCGAGCAATTTCCGTTAATTACTTCTATAGAGTTATAGTCCTTGTTTCACTTTGTTGCACCTTGTTAACACTCCAACATCAAAAGTTATCTGCCGATCTGTATGAAATTTATATGCATTATTTAAATTAGTATAAGAAGAATCCTATTGAATTTCAGCAATTTCAGTTTACTACATCGAGAGTTATGGCCCATCTTTCACTTTGTTGAATCTTGTGAACCTTCTAACGACAAAAATTATCATCTGATCTTTGTGAAATTTATATGCATTATTTAAATTAGTGAAACGAAGACTCCTATTTCCGTTAATTACGTCTAGAGTTATGGTCGTTGTTTCACTTTGTTGAACCTTGTGAACGCTCTAATGCTAAAAGTTATCCAATCTGTATGAAATATATATGCACCATTTAGATTAGTAAAACGACGAAGTCTATTGAATTTCAGCAATTTCGGTTAATTACATCTAGAGTTATGGCCCTTGTTTCACTTTGTTCAAGCTTGACAATGCTCGACCGAAAAATGAGTCTATTAAATTTCAGCAATTCCTGTCAATTACTTCTAGATTTATGGCTCTTGTTTTACTTTGTGAACCTTGTGAACGTTCAAATGACAAAAGTTATCATCCGATCTGTATGAAATTTATATTCATTATTTAAATTGGTAAAAAAAAATAAAAAATTTCCAGATTACTTCCAGAGTTAAGGCCCTTTTCTTTTAGTTTGCCGAACCTTGTGATTATAATCTGATCTGTATTAAATTGTCTTATAAATGCCCCCATTTACTACAAAAGAATAAATATGTGACAACCCTTTTCGATCTCTCAGATTCAGCTGTTGCGGGTGTATGTTTCGTTGCATGGCAACCTATCTGAAAAAGGGGGCTTAACTCTAGAACGGATATTGCATAATGCTGAACGAAAGATAGCAGAACACTGATTATCGATAGAGTTTGTTCTCTTATGACCCAGGTCTGTAGCCAGCTTGCTGGCTGCAGAGGGGCAGTGAAGTTTTTAGGTGGGCACACCCGGCACAGTCTACAGTAATTATTTTAGAGCAATGGTCGGCAAATTTTTTTCAGAGGGGCATTGCCCCCCGCTGGCTACGGGCTTGTTATGACCCCAATGCTTCAAACCAAATTGGAAATAAATCTGTTAAATCCAACTAATCCAAGATCTTATGATCCTTAACATATATTTTTTAAGTGTTATTTAAGTCAGACAAAAATTGTGAGCTCTAGAGGGTTCACAAGCTTTGTACATATTTCACATTTTGCGTAAAAGGCAGAGGGTATACACATAAATTAAACTCATCCTTTTATCTGAATGGGGATGACAGTAAAAAAAATAATACTAATTTGACAACATATTTGAAAACTTTTTGCTGCCTGCTTCCTCGCAAACTCACACCTTGGGTGTTTGCCCTTTAAACTTTTTAGCAAATCTTACAAGTTTTACACATGGTTATAGTTCATTGGATGCACATATTTTAAACCACCCAATCATGATTTTTCAACTATAACCTAACAATTGCAAAGTTTATGGTTTGAAAAAGAATTTACAATAATCAGGGATGATATCAATTTCAAAATGTTTTTGCTATAACCTTTCCATTAATATGTATTAACACCATGCAAGATACTCCACATTTTGCGTACAAGAGAGAGAGAGAGAAATAGGGTTTAACGTCCACTCGACACAAACTAGGTCATTTCGGGACTAACATATGGTTTAATTTTATTTCATTAATTTGCTTGCGCGTAGGGGTCTTTAGCAGTGGGAGGACCCGGAGAAAACCCACGAGGTTGGACAGGCGACCCTACTCCTTGTCACGTACAACCAGGGATTCGAAACCACGCCAGTTGACTCAATGACAGACTTTATGATACAGCGCGCACACGCTTACCATTCAGCCACCCAACCCCCCTTTTGCGTACAAGGAGTGGCATTTTGTCAGTCAGTTTCGGCCAGATTTTCACGAAATTCGAACTCAACCGTAATTATTGTGTAACGGTGATATATTCCAACGAGGTTTTTTTCAAATCAGATAAAACCAGCGGCTGCCAGGCAGGATACGCCCACATTTTGCAAGAGATGGATAGAGAACAAACTAAAAACAAAAACAATTTTTTGTACAATCAGGGGCCCTAATCCAGAAAGTTATGGTCTGAAATGCACAAATATCAAAAGGGACTGAGATTTTTGGAATATAAAGATACATTTTAAGTTTCATCCAATTTGGTTAAAATTGTGACCTCTAGAGGGTCCATAACCTTTGAATTACATACTTATATACAATTTGCATACAAAGAGCGGACAGTTTCATTTCGATTTTCCCGAAATTCCAATTCAACCTTCATTATGGTGGAATGGTGATCTAAACGGTTTATAAAATCGGAAAAAAAAATTGTGACCTCTAGAGAATCCAATTGCTAAAAATGCGATTTTTCGACCAATCAGGGGCCATAATCCAGGAAGTTATGATCCGATATGCGCGAATATCGAAAGGAACCAAGATCTTTGGGTTATAAACATGCATTTTAAGTTTCATCAAAATCGGATCAAAATTGTGACCTCTAGAGTGTCCACACACTAAAAACGTGATTTTTCGTACAATCGGGGGCAATAATTCATGAAGTTTCGATCCAATATGCGCGAATATCGACAACAACCAAGATCTTTGGGTTATAAACATGCATTTCAAGTTTTATCAAAATTAGATTAAAATTGTGACCTCTACAGGGTCCACAACCTTGATATACCATATTTTTACACTATTCGCGTACACGCAGCGGCCATTTTGTCAGGCAGTTTTGGTCTGATTTTCACGAAATTCGAACTCAGTCTTCATTACGGTGTAACGGTGATATACTAAAACATTTTTTTTTTTAAATCGGATCAAAATTGTGACCCCTGGAGGGTCCACAAGCCAAAAACGCAATTTTTCGTACAATCAAGGGCCATAATTCAGGAAGTTACGATTCGATATGCGCGAATATCGAAAGGAGCCAAGATCTTTGGGTTATAAACATACATTTCAAGTTTCATCAAAATCAGATCAAAATTGTGACCTCTAGAGTGTCCACAAGCTAAAAACGCGATTTTTCGTACAATCAGGGGTCATAATCCATGAAGTTACCGTCCGATACATTGTGGACGCACGGACGGACAAGCAGGGGCAAGGCATAATACGTCCACATGAAAACTATGGGCGTATAAAAAATTGTGACCTAAAGGGACCACAAGGTAAAACGTGATTTTTCGTACAATCAGAGCCATAACCCAGCAAGGAACCGAGATCTTTGGGTTATAAACATAACTTTTAAGTTTCATCAAAATCGGATAAAAATTGTGACCTCTAGTAGTGTCCACACGCTAAAAAAAGATGATTTTTCGTAAAATCAGGGGCCATAATCCATGAATATGGCCTTACATGCCAATTTCGAAAGGAACCAGGATCTTTTGGAGATAAATCTATATTTTAAATTTCGGAAAAAAAAAAACCTGTGACCTGTAGAGAATCCACAAACAATTTGTCGATGTACGGACAGGGGCGGCGAGAATATAAGTCCACATGAAAAAATGGGCGTATAAAAAAAACCTGATGTCCGTGTCCGATGTCTGTAAAACGGCGAATGGCGAACGCCAAAACAATAGGGATAATGCGACTTGATGCTCGGGATTTCTTTATTTCCCGCGTATACCGGGATAATCACAACGAAACGAAGAAATGCCATGTGCTGATAATAAATAGGCCTACGAGAAGGCGTATATTTTAAATGCCATTTAAAGACATGTTTTCTTTTCAGTTAATTTATTAAATATTCGCTTATATGTGTTAATAATTCTACGCCGATGAAATAAAATGAAAAAAAGGAAAAGAAACATTGCCGATCAGTGGTACTAAACCGATCGGCAATGTTTCTTTTTCTTTTTATTCATTTGACTGCGCAGTTTAGTCTGACACGTTTACTTTACACTACAAAGTATGCAACAATTCATATTTAAGTTAGGAGAGAACTCAGGGATTAAATTATCTTGGTCCAAAAATGAATTAAGTGTGAATAGAAGACATGTCTTTAATAGCTGGCATTTAAATTATACGCCTTCTCGTATTATCAGCACATGGCATTTCTTCGTTTCCTTGTGAATTTTCCGGTAGTTCTAATTTTTACAGCAGAATAAAAAATACGCGGGGAATAAAGAAATCCCGATCATTAAGTCGCATTATTCCTATTTGTTTGGCGTTGGCCATTCGCCGTTTTAGGAGAATCACAGACACTACCCAACGTCGCTAGTCAAAAATTACAGAGAACTATAATAAGGGAGGCAATCCGTGTACGCTAGTTTTAAACAAAAACGTCTGCTATACACGTATACCGTATA